ACATTCACACTGGCATAGCTGAACTCCCACTCACTTGTTTAGACATTTTGTCATCTTCAATTTGTGTCTGTCACTCCCGGAGCTCCTGGAGGCAGGACATCCTTCAGAAGGGCTTCTCCCTGCTCCCTGTGTGTGTGCGGTGCATTTCCGAAAGTGGATTACAAGCTGAAGGCACTTGTAATCGCTGTGTTAAGCCAGATAGGGGATGGATGCTATTGAACCGAAGTTCGGTTTCAGCACAGAAACAAAAATTTAACAAATGAATATTAATATATTTTATGCCAAGTGATTGGAATCAATTGCAAAGCCATTATTCATATTCATCGAGATAAGGCATGCAGAAAACTAAATTTAATTTAGATAGCCCTGCACTCGTAAATTTAGATGATTTTAAATATTTTTCACAGTGAACTCTGCGGACTTGGCAAATGCCACTGCCTGGCTTCCTTCCTGGCATGGCTGGCATCTTCATCTATTTGCCAAGGCTCTCCGGCAGGCGGCGTTTATTGAGTTTTAATTGGATAAGTTATAGATGCTCATGTTGCATAAATTCCGGAGACTCCTTTGTTTTGACACCTCCGGTCTAGATCCAGCTGGGGGATGGAGGCCGAAAGAATCGGCTGCACATCACAGGAATTGTGCGGTCGTGCGTCAAGTGTCCGTGGACGTGCAGCTCATTTTCCTGGCCAGGTGGGGTGCCCGCATTCCTCCCTCATAGCCGGATAATACCTGACATCTCAAAGTCTCCACAATCAATGAAAGTTCGTTAAGAATCTCCCTTAATTAATGCCAACTATGAAAGCGTTTGTCGAGCTCATTTTCATTATATAAACGAAGCAGCCACTTTGATTTTTATATAGCCAGGGAGGGCAAAAAAAAATAACGCAAAACACAAAAGCTATAAATATACAAAAGCTGGAGGGAAAACAAAGGCGGCGAGAACGGGAAAACAATGGAAAACATTTTACTGGCTTGTCGCTGCCTTTATTGCCGCCTAATCGCAATGGACCTTGCTCCGAAGTTGTTCTTTTTCCAGGCTGCACTAAGGCAGCATCATCAGTCATGCTACTTCATTATTATAGCTGACACTGCCAACCCATATACCCCACACTCTCGCCAACACCCACTCCATTGACTCCCTCCCTGTCCCTGTCGCTTATAATTCATTTCTATTGTGCCATGTCTGAAAGTCCTTTTTGATCCAGCAGACTTATTTGTCTTGAGGAAACTCGCAGTAAAATTGCTTTTCCTACTACGCGCTCACTTCCTGTTGCCGCTTGTTGCGCTCTCGGGAGCTCTGGAGCTGTGGAGCTGACGCAACTTTTCCATTGTCTTGCTGCGGCGTTTGGGTGGCCAGCCGGAGATGGGGCAAGTCCTGCGAGTCAAGTCCCGGGGATCGGTGTTAATAGACGCCTGCCTGCTGGACTTGCTTGCAACAAGCAGCATCAGCAGCAGGAACTGTGTCAGCATCGAGACACTGCACAAAACAAATAATTCTATTACTTTGGTAAGATGAATCTAAATCATCTAAATCATCTAAAAAGTAATCTTATAATATGTTTCTCTAAGTGCACAAGCCTTAACAGCGGACGCTTCAAGTTGGCTCTTCATTTGTCGCTTTGTGCTTATTGTCACTGCGCCCGGCTTCATTTTCTTGTGATTAATGTCGTCATTAACTGCAATTAACTTTTTTAGTTGCCGTTCGCGACAAATCTTTGCCGTTTTTGCCTGAACTTTGGTCGCCAACTTGACTGGCATGTTGAGCACTGTCAATTTGAGTCCTGGCCTCCATCCTTCACTGGACGTCATCAGTCATGTGTGCTCGTGGTGGAGAGTGTGCGACAACTTAATAGTTTTTGCCCTAATTATTTGTCAAGCATTCTGCTAATGGCCTGGGTCGGCCATCTACGATCCCTATCGCTCCAAAAAAAAAAAGCAACTAAAAATATATCCTTCCAACAGTTTGTCCTTAAAACCAAATCGCACATGAGCTTAAGGAAACTCATTGGGGAAATCGCTTTCGAATGAAACATCTCCAATGCGGGTCTCGACACGGAAAACAGTCGAAAAAGAATTAAAGTTCTATTAATTTCAGGGCATTCTTATCCGTGGGCTAGCCAAGTTCGTCCTTGATTCACCGTTCTCCGGCCTCTGATGGGAGTAATTCCACTCCGGGCAAGTGCACGAAAATGTCCTGCTAAGTACGAAATAAAAGCGCTACGTGTCCTGACGTGCACTTGCCGGGAGTCATAAACTGGCCGACTTTGCAGGAGTCGCGGGATCGTAACTAGAACTACATACAACTGCGATTGCGAATACGAATGAGAGTACAAGAATGGGGAGGGGTGCCGTGGCGACCCATGTGAACTGTGTATTCGCAACGTGGCCTAGAATTATGCTACAAATTTTATAATTTCACACCTAGGCGGAAGGAAGAGCAGCCTCCCAAACGGAAATGGCTCGTAAAACAGCGGCAAACGGCATTGGGAAGTTTTACGCCACGGCTTTGTTGTTTCGTAGCCAGAACTCTGGCTACTTGCTACTTGCCACATATAGCTGCTACATTTTGGGGGTATTTTTTTAGTGCCACTCGGAACGCACACCCACATGGGCACACACAGACCCATACGCCCGCAGCTGGGACTACTGTCTTGCATTTTTGTGTTTTAACTTTCTTACAATAAAGTGATGTTATCTTGTGCTTTCCAGCTACTTTGCGGCTTAGGCAACAGGCGAGTAGGCGTGGTGGGCGGGTGGGCGGTTGGCTTTTGGTGGGAGGTGGTTGACAGGATCTAGGGGAAATTACTCTGTGCTTTATCGTGCATATAAATCTATTTGCTCAGGTGTTTTTAGCTGCTATATGTTTGTGATGACTTTATTTTGCGTTTACCGCCAGCTTTGGCTTCATCTGGCTCTGGCGCTTGGCCTCCGGCACTGCTTTTTCAGCTTTTCTTATTTTTTTGCCACCGCCCGGCCCGAGTCCTTAGAAACCACCTTATTTAGATTGGGCAGGGCGGGGCGGATTGGTTGGAATTTCCTCGATTTTTTTCTGTGGTCTCTAGCGCTATGGAAAAGTTGTAAAAAGGTTTTCACTCAGACCAGATGCGCTGCCAGCTAAGTCGGGAATGTTAAAAAATAAATAAATAAATTTCTATATAAATTTTCTTCCTTAAAGCTTTAATTTAATCATACTTCCACATCCGACCCACGAGTCGTATGCGCAATTTGGTTAAATACGTGACAAAGCCTCTACCGCCTCCGTGCGAAGGCAAATTAAAAGACCCGGGCATTAAGCTAAATGTTTAAAGCACTTAACCGCCATACATGTCATCAGGCAGTATGAAATATTCATACTGGAGCTGGAGCTGGAGCTGAAGCTGGAGCAGCAGGAACAGCAGGACCAATATGTAAGCTCCGTGGCTACGAAATGCTCGGCTCAAGCTTTTAAGCCTTTTTTTTAATGGCTTAACTACAACTAGACAAGGTAGCAGGACACATATGGAGGAGAAAAAGCCTACACAACCCACACACCCTAACACACACACACATACGCACCACAATGCTGTCGTCGCGACCACACAGCATTTACTCAAGGGATTAACTGTAAAGATCTTAATGCCTCTATTTCGACGGTCTTAAGTAAACTTCCGAGTGGGCCAGGGACTGGCCCTAGTCCTACAACTACAAAACCAACAATTACAACAAGAATGTGTGACAAGTCAAGCAGCACCACTGAAGCGAAGCACCCACGCACCACCGCACCACCCTCTGGTTTTTGGCTTTTTATTTGTGTTTGTATTTGGCCCAGTGTTTGTTTTGCCCACTGGCTCCACTCATGCCGACTGCGGCTTCTTCTGATTCAGCACAGCGAGAAAAAAAGGGTTAAAATTTAGGAAAAACTCCACAGGTCAGAATCTTAAAGATTTGATTATAGATGGTCGGTTGAGTACAATTAAGATTCTAGTATATAGCTCAGTATATCAAGTATTTCTCTATCTGTGCTTCTTTCATTGTATGTTTGTGATCCTGTCCCTTTGCTAAGCCTTAAGCAGCACTTCCGCATCCTTGTTTGTGTGCGCCCCTGTGGTCGTTGGGTCTCCTTCCATGGGCATGGGCCTGCTACCGGGTCACATATGCACATTGTCATTGCCAAGTACCACTAATATTATTTACTTTTCGTTAGGATGTGTGTTGTGCCAGCTCAATAGATAAACACGTGTAGCCATCAGCCATTTCTCCGGGCATCGGGGGCATCCTTCTCGGCCTTTCCATAAGCATCCTGCCTCACGGCAACAATTATGCCAAATTAAGTGCAGAAACTTTCGATGGCATTCTTTTAGCCTCGTTGAATAAGCCAAACTTTCATCCGATTCCGAAAACAGAAAATTAAAAAACGTTAAAATTGAAAAATCATGCCGCACCGTCGAGCAGGAAGAAGCGAACAACCAGATGTTGCCCACGGCCGGTAGACGAGCACCGGGGTTGTTATTGAAAAATATAAAGTATCGCCGCAATCTGATTAAAATTACATTTAAATAATAGCAGCAACAACATGGTAGAAACCACGGAGGGCGGAGGAAAAAACACGGAGGAGAAGCCACCGACCACGAGGTATATTCTGTGATGTACGTCAAGCACGAAACTTGCAATTACAGCTTGTAACGCGGTGGCAGGTAAAAAACTTTACAAAACTTTGCAATTGCTTTTCATTGAATTGTTATCGGTAGTCCGGACTCCGGAATACGGATAGGATAAAAATTGACGGAAAAATGACCAAGGCAGCAAATAGAGGAAAACATTTTCCAGTTTAAGATTTGTGGAAAATACACAGCATACTCTAAGTTGGTTTATTGGCTTTTAAATAATAATAATAGTTTGAATTTTAAAGCTAACGACTAGGGATTAGTGTTGGATTCGATGACTTACCGGACATTCACATAAAATTAGTAACAGATTTCATTTATCAATACTTAATCACTTTTGCAATTTGGACCTGTCACTTTCCTGATTTGCAAGTCATTCCATTTTTTCACCTCTTGGAGAAAGCATTCCGGATTGAAAGCCATGTTGTACTACCTGGTCAAATTTATAAAACTTTGCTTCGGCTCTCCTGGGAAAATGTTAAAACACTATCGGAGCCTCGTTGAGGAGTGGAACGACGATCAACGCAGCCGCCAGGTCAATGATGTGGTGTTCGTGACCTGCGAGGGAATTAGGAGCTGCTGGGGACCACACCAGGATCTGGGCTACAAGTGCGACGCCGCCTACTGCTTCAACAATCATGTGAGTCGCATCATTCAGCACATCGACAGGGCCGTGTACTCCATAGATCTGGCGATTTATGCGATGAGTTCTGATCCCATCGGCAAGGCCTTGCACAGGGCCAGCGAACGGGGAGTTCGCATCCGAGTCCTCAGCGAGAGGAACTTTGTCAGGTTGATGGGTACGCACGCCAGATATATGCTAATACGGAAGATTCCGCCTCCCCGTATTCCTACTGGCCGTGAAATGATGATGCATCACAAATTCTGCATTATTGACGGATACCAGTCCCAGAAGGAACTAAACCCGACTAATTCCGATCCCAAACTTTCTGTCTACATGAGTGGCTCGCTCAACTGGGTGTCGCACGCAAAGAGCTGCGACGACCTTCTCATCAGCAGTTCGCCAAAGGTCTCGAAGCGCCTGGAGCAGGAGTTCAACCGTATTTGGAAGGGCCTTGGAATTCTTCCAGGGCAACACCCTAATATTTATAATTATAAGTCTTGACGATTTTATTACAATTACATATTGAGTCAATATAATATGTTTCACTAATGGTAACACTTTGATTCGGGTGTGGGCATGGTATACATAGTTACAGATGTAAGTAATGCTTTTGAACTGACGGCTTTTAGGAGTTCCTCTTCTGCCAGCTCAACTAATCTTATTTCGCAAATAGTACTTAATGAGCTGTATGCACACCTCCGCGTCCTCGGCACTGTCATGACCGGCCTCTGTAATGAATTATTTTTCAATGTGGTTTTAAACAACTTCGAATATAGAGATCTCACCGTTTTCCTGTATAATACGCTTTAGATTCTCAATGCAAAGCGTCTTAAGGGCACGCTTTTTGGGAGGACCCATCTTGTGAGGAAATAGAACCGAGGTGTCTACCACCACTTCGTGAATAAGCTTGAGGGCCTTCAGATCGCTCTCCAGACTGTGGCCCACCAGTACAGTCTTGGCATGAAACATCGACATCAACACGGCCTGAACGTCACGTAACGTTCGAGTCTCCTTGGACAGCATAGCCTCCGTAATGCCCGAGTAACTGAAAGAATCATATTTGTTTAGAATAGATAGAGTTATTAAAAACCAACTTCTAGTTACGTGGTGTTGTAGTCTACAATTTGGTTGTCCGGTTTGACTAGAGCGTCGTAAACGTTCCGTCCATTGATGTCCACTACTGTGACGCGGGTTAGCTCTATTCCATGGGTTGTGTAGCACATTTCACAATCCAATGCGAATATGTCCTTCTTGGTAGAAACATAGTCTTCGTCCCGCTCGATTGTCTTCACAAAACAAGTGAGCTTTTCGGGATCGTAATAATCGCTCACATGGTAGTTGGCGTAGGTACATCCCGGAGTGCCCGCGGGTTGTTGACAGCAGCGGTGCTGGTTATCTGTGAAACCACGCCGATAGCCAGTGCTCTTTGGATGATAGTTGCACATGTCGACTCCGCTATGTTCGTAGATGTCTAGGCTGAAAACTTTGCCGCAACGAGAGCAATATCGTTCTCGTTCGTTGGGGCGTCTGTTGGGACGACAAGCACGAATGACAGCCGTCCCTCGTTTGGCGCCAGGACGTGGATAGCCATTTTCCACCAGCTGCTCCTCCGTCAAACGCAATTCATAAACCATTTCGTAGGCTTTATCGCCTGGCAGGGCATCGAAGGGCTCACCGTTGCTTAAAGAGCCTAGTTTCCTAAAAAGCATGTTAACATTAAATTAGAATATATATTCCATTATAAGGATTAAAAACCTACTCCTTTTTCTCCATGCTCCAGGAGGTAGTGAGGGCTCGCTTGCCGCCCAGCATCATCTCGTGCGACACCGTCTTATTGGCCACACTGGGACGATTACCCGCTTCAATGGCCTCCTTGCGCAGCTTATTGATCGCCAGCATGCAGCTATTCTTGTAGATAGCTGGAGTATTACACTTTTTGAAGACGGCCAGTTCCTCCACCTGCGCTCTCTCCCAGGCATCGGCCAGCTGCGGGTAGATGACAGTGCAGTGCTTCACCATCATCTCATAATACTGCATTCGTATGTTGTAGGATATTTTAGAGCTTTGTGCCTCCAGAATGGTCGGTTTCTCAGCTTGAGTTTCGGTGGCTGCCGGAGCTACTTTATCCAGAGCTGCTGAGGGCTTGTGAGCCACTCTACCAGTGCCCTTAAAAGACTGAGCCGGTGTGAAGGCGGGTTTCTTCTCTGCTTGTAACTCTTCGATCTTCTTCTTGGCCCGTGCTATGGCCACGATGTTCGACACGGGTGCTATGCTACGAGCTGGAAAACAAGCACTGATATAAGCTTTTGTTTTATAAAGTTATAATAGTAGATCTTACCTGATCGAACTGGCGGAGTCAGGGCGCTTCTTGAGATGAGTGGTGTGAGTGTGTTAACCTGCGCCTTGCGCAGGTCCTCCTGCGCTTGACGCACCCGCTCTTGGGCCTGACGCAGCTGCTCGGCAGCGGCCTCAGCGCGCAACTTTTCCTGCCGCCGCAGCTCGGCTCGGCGCTCAAAGATAGCCTGCATTGCATTGCGGATGTGGTTCGGCTTCCCCACGGAAGCTGGCAATACCTGAGGCTTGTTCTTGTCCGCGTTCTCGTGAGCGACGCGACGTTTTTGGATTGCTGCAGTAGCTGCTTCGGTGTAGGCATCGATATCCGGGGAAGAAGCCTTTCGCTTGCGAGAACTATCCGGTGTCACTTCTTCGACCACGTCAGATTTTTGTGCAAACTTATTTTCCAGCTCGTCAAATATCATTTCACACTGACGAACTATCTCTCCCTCCGAGGTGTCGATTTCAAAGTCAAAGTCCATTTCATCAATTTCATCATCTGGAGCAATAGCACTTTCAGTTTCTTTTTCTGCCTCTGGTTCACTTTTGGATGAGCCGGAACTCTTTCCGGACGACGAGCTGCTTTTGGATTTGGAGTGGGAGCTGGAGGAGCTTTTCGACACTGAGCTGGAGCTATGATGACGACTCTTGGATGAGGAGGAACTGGAACTGCTCTTATGCTTGCTGCTGCTGCTGCTGCTTTTACTGCTGGTTTTCTCATCCCGGTGCTTATCGCTACTTGACGACTTCCTACTTGAAGAAGAAGAGCTGGTCGATGACTTGTGCCTGGAAGAACTGGAACTGGAGCTGTGGCGATCTTTTGACCGATCCTTGTCCTTGTGAGATGACTTGCGCCTCTCCTTGTCCTTCTCTGAGTATTTTTCCTCATCCTTTAACTTCTGTTTGTCCTTTTCCTTAGATTTTTCCCTCTCTTGGCCTTTTTCCTCCTTGACTATATTAATGTCTAGTTTGAGCTCCTCATCCCTTTCCCAGGAAGCATCCTTTTCCTTATTTCTGTCCTGATCCTTGCTGGACTTGTCCTCCCATGTACTCTTTGGCTTTTCCTCCGGTTCTTCCGACACTTTCTTTTCATCCAATTCTCCTACGCCAGGTTCATCATCCTGGATTGTATCCAGGGGGTCCTCATGATTTATTACTATCTGAAGTTCCTCATCTTCTTCATTTTCGAGTGCATCGTGCCAATTTCCACCGACGGAACCGTTTGTAAGCGAAGGTCGGGAGGGTACATATTTGGGCGCACTGTCCACGGTCGCCTCCTCTTTCTTCTTTGCCGGTGACGCATTCAGCCCCGGTTTCTCAGGGTGGTACTCGAGTTTAGATTTCTTCTTGGGCCCTATAAGAGGTATCAGCGGCAGTGGAAGAGAGAGAAGCTTTGGCGCCGGCTTGTACACCGGTGCTGGAGCCGGTTCTGTGGGCGGAACGGCATCTGAATCGTCTGCAAACCGGAAGTTGTAAAAAAAATGGTACTGAAGTCGGTCCAAGACAAGCCCTCACCTTTTCGAGCGTGCTTGAAGTGACAAAACGGCCGCCGGCACGATGGGGTATCGCCGGACTCATTGCCGTCGTAATACGGACAAAGAAAATCCTTAAAAAGTCCCGTAGAGGGCAGCATTTGGGCCAAATTCCGGGATTCTAAACTATGAGCGTCCCGATAGCCTTCTGTTCTCAAAATCTGCCCCCCCTCGCTCTCTTCAATTCATCTGTCACAATCATCTGCTCGGCGGAGTGGCCAGACTACCCTAGTATCGATAAAGGGTATCGATAACAGCTTGTTTACAAACATAAGCTGGAGTAAATAAACAACAAATTCTTGAGGTATTATTTGCTTTTTAATTGGGAAAGATTAAACAAATTAAAACTTTTATAATTGTCATTTAATATTAATTAATTTTGAAAAACAATCCTTGTGCGCTGCAAATTTGCCACCGGGCATGGCGGCTTGTATACATAAACAAAGCCAACAAAACTAAATGATAAAAATCATTAATTAAAAGAACAACCAAACTGCAGACTCAACTGCACAAATGAGCCTGATAGCGCTATAGTCGCATTGATACAGGACAATTATGAACTGCATACTTCTGACGATAAGCTCAGGTACAAATTTCATGGCTTATCTTGCGATTTGTTGTTGCGCTCGATTTGAATATAAATAAGCTTATCAGATGTCCACAATGTCTGCGACCCATAGCTATTGGGTTAATATGCTTGGACTTATCAGACTGAGTCAGTGGGAGGCGAATCCCCCGCATCAGCCAGTGATAAGAAGTTCTTTCATGGTGAAATTTAGCCGGATGGCCAACTCTCCGCCGCAGTTCAGTCGTATAACGGCAGTGTAGCGGTTCAGTTGTCTCCGGAGAGCTTAATTTGATCGAGTCCAAAGGTCAGTCGTTGAGACTTCTGTTTAAAATCCAAGTGGAAGCATCTTGTTTCTCTAAAGCTATTATCATCGTGCACGCGCCAAGAAAAAATGCAAAGTCGACTCGTTAGAAACTCAGACTTTGGTCACCTCCCTCGCCCAAATATTAGCAGTAGAACCGCCACCTGGCGACGGTACTTTGGACCCCTGATTTGCGAAAGTGATTCCAGATATATACCCTTTATAGAGAGTTTTACACTTTCATCAAACATGTTAAGAATTAGAAGTGCTTGGAGAACACCTTCTTCATAAATCGTTCATTAAAGAGGAGGGTGTATTTAAAATTAAAAAAATACCTTAGTGTGAAATGTGCCTGTAGTACCTTAAAGGGCATATAGACTTTCGGTTCTGTCTAATATTAAATAACCAATTCTGGAATTATAATCTTGAATTCTTAGCCAAAAGGCCTATGGGGGCCTACCACCAGACCGATGAAATGCTAATCTCAACAGCCACATGATTTTTCCCCCAGATAAACTCAACCATGGATCGGGCGAGCCTATATTTTATGAGTAAGGATGATAAAAATACGTTTGATTTTGACGAGACTCTGCCGCCGTTGCCTCTGCCGGAACTAGAAGACACCTTGGAGAGGTACTATGCCTGTATTAAGCCATTTGGAACGCCAGATGAGTTGGCCCAGGCACGAAAGACCATCGAGGAGTTCAAGAACGGTGTGGGTGCTCAGTTGCACCAGCAACTCAAGCAACGGGCGGCCACCATGAAGAACTGGCTGGGAACCTGGTGGGAGGATTATGCCTACCACCTGACCCGGCTGCCCCTTCTTCCCTACCAACTGATGTCAATGGCGGCCCAGTTGGAGATGGTGGGAGTGCCCGAGACTCCCGAGTATATGCTAAAGGTGAGTCTCTCAAAAGTAAACTTGCGAATATGAAATTTTTTTAGAAAACTTTCTGATATTCGAAATCCCCGCCTTTTCTTTGTTGTTATCTTTATATGTAGGATTGGTTTCAGGTTTATGATGTTACTTTAACAAAGTAGTACATAGATAATGCCTTTTGTTTTGTACAGACGTTATGTATACCTATTGGTCTTTGGAGTGTAGACTATTAATCTTTTTTTATACAATCTTAATCCCCTAATTCCCAGAGCTTAGCCCGGCACATTCACCACACTCTGGAGTTCTGGGATCTGACGCGAAAGTCTAGCATTAAACCTCTATCCTCTAATGGGGGCAAGATCAAGTACTCCTCGGCGTTGTACAAGCGCTTCTTCTCAACATGCCGTGTTCCTGGAATCGAGCAGGACCACATTGAGAAACACTTCCTTACCAAAGACGAAGGCAAGACGCCATCGCACATTCTAATTTCCGGCAAGGGGCGACAGTTCATCTTCGACTGTGTCCACGAAGATGATACGATTCTTACTGCACCTGAGATTCTTGTGGTGATGCAGCGTCTGCGGAGCATCCTGGACTACGAGCCAGAAGGCGCCTGTGTCCCCACACTCAGCCACGACGATCGAACTGCTTGGGCGCATAATCGCAACCGCTTGAGGGAGATATCGGAGGCCAATAAGGAGACTTTGCTACTGGTGGAGAGCGCCAGCATGGAGGTTTGCTGGTACGAGCAGTCGCCAAAGGACTACGAGGAGTCCTCGCAGCTGGGTCTCTTTGGGGACTTGCACTCCCGCTGGGCGGATCGGAGCAGCAGCGTTATTGCCTTTAGAAACGGAAAGTTCAACTGGACGGGAGAGCACAGCTGCTACGACGGTACGGTGAGCATCAGCTATGCCACCTTCATGCAGCTCAGCCACATGGAAGAGGCAGAGCCGGACTGGTCACAAGCTGATGGCAGCAAAGTCGTGGAAATCAAGGAGCTGCAGTTCCAGCTGGACGACAAGCTAAAGAGCGAGATACAACGCGTCCGAAAGGAAATCGATGACAGGGTAAGACATCCTTCCATCCTCCATCATTGAAAGCCATCTAATCAACAAACGTATCCCTCAGGGCATTGATGTAACAGTGACCTTTACGGTTTTCGATGACTACGGCAAGGACTTTATGAAAACCCACCGCCTGCATCCGGACTCCTTTGCTCAGGTGGTCATGCAGTGGGCCTACTACCAAATGCACAAAGAGTAAGCTATTGGAATTTGAAATATTCAGAAACCAAAATAATTTGGATGACTTCTTTACAGAATTGCTCCCACCTACGAGACCGCTCTGATGCGTCAGTACTATGATGGGCGAACGGAGACCCTCCGCTCTTGCACTGCAGCAGTAGCTGATTTCCTTAAGGCCTCATCCAACAAGCAGGTGGGAGAATTGGCTCTGGCCAGAGCTTTTCGAGCCGCTGTCGATGAACACAAGCACTTCATGAACGAGGCCCGAAAGGGACATGGCATAGACAGGCACCTCTTTGGCCTCTGGTGTGTGGCTTACGAAAACAAAATGGAAATTCCCGCCTTCTATGACGATCCTTTATACACTAAGAGTGGTGGCGGTGGTAACTTTGTGCTCTCCACCAGCACTCTCGGCTTCACCGCCAACGTGGGCTATGTGGCGCCCATGCTGTTTGATGGATACGGTGTCTTCTACTCCATAACATCAGAAGCGTAAGAAAATCATATACTTTGAGAGAATCAAGGTTTTTACTAAACAAAGAATGTATTTTTAGGATCTTTATCAATACCACCGCATACCGGGATAGTATTAAAACCAGTGCCCGTAAATTCAACGACATTTTCAAGGATTCCTTCCGTCGCATCAGCGTCCTCTTGGAGCAGTTGGCCAAGGAGTCTAAGCTCTAAGCTCTCTTTTATTTTAAGATTAAAAACTATGCATATTTTCTACCCCACCACTTTGACTTCCGAATTTACTTTCAAAAAAAAGAAAAAAAAGCAACTAATAGATTTCAGAAATCTTTTCAAAATACTATTTTAAAATTGGAAGAATTGTAATTGGTTTATAGGAATAATTCATCACTTTATATAGAAAGTAAAATCGGAAGAATATATATTACTTTAAGTAGTTTTTAAGAAAAAAAATGTGTCAGCATTCCAAAGATTTGTGGTTTTGTGTTAAACGTTTATTTAAATTCAATGTTCGATTAGATTTTCAATACATTTCACGTGTTTCAACTTTAAAATGCGGCTAAATAAGCTAAGCGCCCAGCCGCTCAAATACGTTCAACACTTCATGACTTCAGAGTTGATAAGCGAGCGCCGCAGCTGGTCCTAGAGGCTACATACAAATTAAATGGTGCTTACGCCGGATTATTATTCATTCTATATACGCATACTTGACGTTAGTAAGTTCGATTATCTGGGAGCTAAATGCTAATTACACTTGCTTACTGTGTTTCTACAAATCAAATGGAGTTTATCGAGTCCCAGACCCGACAATAAGAATGGGGGGATGGGGGAAAAAAAAAGCTTCGATGAGCTGAGTACGTCTTGGTTAGTGCGACGGATTGGGAGGCCGAAAGTAGCCAGCGTTCGGCGACAGCAGCGAGAAGCCCGAGGATGGGTTAGGTGCTCTCCGTTGAACTCGTCGCTGCTGCACGCTGGCATAGAGGTGCACTCATTCCTGCCCAGATGCCGCAACCGCCTGTAGGTTTTGTTCACCAGCTGGGGCAGGTGGTACATCGTCCTTTGAAGCAGGAGCTCCAGCAGTGGCTGCGCCTTCCCCAGTTCCCGATGTCTGGAAAGCCGGTCGCTGCACAAACATATTGTCGATAATATGGTCTATGTTGTCTGAGGCTCCTTCTTCCTTGGCATTAGCTGCAGTTCCTCCATTACCGCCCGAATTAGTTGCTCCGGCTGAGGCAGCTCCACCCTGTCCCGGTCTTGACTTGTGTTTCTCAGATGGCGGCAGAATGGGAATCGCATTGGTTGGTCTTCGTTGGGGCAGTGAAGTAGGCCGGTTAGTGGGCTGTGCTGGCGGCACAAAGTATGTTGTTCCTCCGACTGTGTTGTAGTTCTGATAGGATTGCGATGGCTGAGCTTGTGGTGCCTGAGCTGAAGGCGGTGCCGCAGCAGGAGTCTGCGCCTGGGCGTAGGCTACAGCTGCCGGAGTAGTTGGCAAGTATGCGGCGCTGGCCGGATTTACATACGGCGTCTGTGGAACAGGCACAGGCACCGGCACTGGTACCGATACCGGTACCGGCTCCGTTCCCGTCACGTAGTAGGGTGCTCCCTGAGCCTGAGGGTATGCGGCTGCCGGAGGACCGTGAGATTTGGGAGGCGCTGGCACCGTCCCCGCCGTGTTTGGTCCCAATTGCATCGTCTGCAGCTGAGCTTGAAGCTCTTGCTGCTGGTAAGCTATCTGCATGAGCACATGGGGGTCCTGGATCATGATCTGTGATGGGGGCTGGTGGTGCAGTTGTTGTTGCAACTGCTGCTGCTGCTGTTGTTGCTCAGCGAGATGTTGGTTCGCTTCTTGTTGAGAGCGTCGCAGACTGTACCGCTTTGGAGCATTCCTTGGCTCCTGATGCAAGGGCGCCGGCTGCTGTTGGTTCTGGTTCTGACTGGCCACCGAGTGCATCTGGACACTACCAACGTGGCTAGGATCGTTTCGCTGCTGCACTTGTTGGAGTCGCTGCGAAAGGTTGGTTGTCGAAAGCGGTGTCTGGGGCGCCAGCTGCTGTTGTTGTTGCTGCTGCGGTGGCTGGCGCTGTTGGTGCTGCTGTTGCTTTTGCTGCTGCGGCTGCTGTTGCGGCTGCTGCTGCTGATTGGAGCGTGGTGTGCTCTGAATTTGGTTGCGGTTGTCTTGTTCTCGTTCTCTCTCACGTGGCTGCTGTCCACGATTGGACTTTGGCTTGAACTCCATGGCATTTTGCCGTCCCGGTCCTCCGTTCATTCGTCCGTAATTTCGGTTTTTAGGCTCACGGTCGCGGTCACGTTCACGATCCCGCTCCCTCTCCCTTTCCTGTGACTTGTGGGGATTGGAGCTGGCAGGTGGAGCCTGCTGTTTGTCAACTACAGCACTTCCAGTGCCAGCGGATCGGCGATTCTCCTTTTCCTCGCGTAAGGATGAAGTGCGCGGAACTCGAGGTTTCCTCTCGTTCAGCGCCGGGAAGTCTTGAGGACGCGGTAACTTCCTCTCCTTGTTACTCGCCTTAAGGTAAGCCTGCTCGTCCTCCCAGTTTCTTGAGTATTTGCTTGGGCCTCGTGTATAGCGCCGTCGGCGACGGGCACGAGGCGGTGCGTCTTCATTTCGGATGTCGTATCCGTACGTCTGCAATAGTTCGGCCCGTGTTTTAGGCGCCTGTTCGCTGGCCTCAAAACGGTCGTGGGACCAACGATCTCCTCCCGATGCCGGCTGCCACTTGCGCATCGTCTTAGAAGCCTGCGAAATTTGTGGGGTTTGACCCGAAGGTGTGACTCCAGTTGCAGCCGAGCTATTTTGTTCTCCATTATGTTCAGGCTGCTGTTGAACGCTGTTCTCCGGCTCAACTAGCACTTCGCCCACGTCCTCCGCGGTTCGGTCGTCGTGCTCATAGAATGTGCCTCTTTTGGGTATATACTGAGGATTGCTGCGATCCTCGTCTACTTTCTTCTGGGCCTCACTATCGGTAACTGAGCGGTCCAAGGCGTGCTCTCCGTCACCATCATCCGTCTCGCTCCCGGCGTCGTCCTCCTCATCAGTCTCCGTCTCCTCTTCACTGCCACTGCCGCTTCGGCTGCCACTACCACTCCGGCTAACGCTCTCATCGTCGTCGTAATCGTCACCTCCTTCCAAGTCGCTGGCCGTATCGTACTCGGAGTCGTGCGGATGCGAGTTGTTGCTCGAAGGCTCCTGGGTGGGCGAGGTGCCCAGCTCCACAGTTGCTTCATCCGTTGGCGAACCTTTGGGGCTAACATTTGTAGGCGTGGCCTGGGGAATGTCAGTCGGCGGTGCGGCCGTCGGTTTCTCCACTTCGGCCATCGCGTGGAATCTCTTCGATTTTCTACTCGCTGCTGGTTCTCCTGCTTTGCTGCTGCAGATAAAAGACTCTCGGTACTTGTCTGCATTCCGGGGGTTTTCAGATATAAACTTACGTGGGTTTTCAGTTTCGCAACTTGAACCTTGGATTTGTATGCTTTTTTTTTACAATCGTTATGAAAAATCTTTTTTTGCCAAAGTTTTCTCGACAACAACGCAATCAGAAAATAGAAAGTGTCTAGGGTTACCTTTCTCTTCGCCGCAGTGTTGCAAAATATTTGTTCAAGCAGCAAAAAAGGAAGGAAACTCTAAAAACGTTGTCCAGCTCTGGATACAGTGAATATTCGAGAAATAACATGTTTTTTAATTCTACCCTACATATATCTTACATTTTTTTAATTTGCTTTTTAAAATTGTTTTTAATTTAATTATTTTTTTTTAAATACTGATTAAATACTGAAAAGATAGGCTTATATATCTCCGTTCAATTTAGACCTGTTAAAAAAAAAACCAAGATAAAGGGGATATTTTCATATAATAAGAGAGATACGAAATAATGCATAAATGTTAAGTTTCATTGTCTTTAAATTATTAATCTTAGAAACTCAATATGAAAAGTATATTAGCTTTAATTTTTTTAATTAAATTAATTAATAAATAAATACATTTTCAATGGTTACTCTAATGACCTTTCGCTAACCACCTGGCCACATTGCAGAACCAGCTGTTGGATGAGACACGAAACTCACACAGTGGCGACAAGAAAAGAGAGCGGCGGAAGAATTGGAATTAAAGCGAGTGGCTGATTAATTAATTGAATCTGAGCTGTCTACGAAACACAACACAAGAAGATGTCGAAGTTTCTGGGCGTGCCCCTTAAGAAGCCGTCGGAGGTGGACGTGGTCAAGCCGCTGAACAATCTCATCCAGAGCACCTACAACGGGGCCACGGAGGAGGAGAAGGCCAAGTACGCCGAAGCTGTAAATGAGTTTTCGAAACAACGCAATACGGCCATTTGGAAGTTCTTCGAGAAGTACGAGGCGTCGCTGGAAATTGTTTATGCGTGAGTACTCCTTGGAAGTCGTTGTGGGCTTTTTTCCGGGAGCCTCCGGGCTATGACTCACCTATCGAGATACAGTGGGGTCTAATCACAGTCGTAGCACCACCACCTGTATATCTGTATGTGAGTCTGCTTGTCCGATATAAACAAGCTTCTCGGATGACGTCGTCGCTAATGGACATAATTTGACTCTGTTTTTTGCAGATATTATGACCAGATTTGTGCCCTCGAGACAAAGATTTCGGCTAGTGAACTGCAGATACCCTTCAAGTGGAAAGATGCTTTCGATAAAGGCTCTATATTCGGTGGCAAAATCAGCCTCAGTGAGTGATTCATAGGGTTTAACATATTTCACCATTAACCACACGTTAACTTTCCAATAGCTCACACATCTCTCCTGTACGAGAAGGTCTGCGTGCTCTTTAATATTGCCGCCTTGCAAAGCAGCATTGCCGCTAGCCAGCAATTGGATACGGATGAGGGTCTGAAGTTGGCCATTAAACTGTTGCAACAGAGCGCCGGTATATTCCAGTATCTTAAGGGCGCTACACCAGCAGCTGTTCCGTCCGAGCCCACGCCTGATATCAGCCAGGACACGCTAGTCGTTCTGCAGGCTCTGATGGTTGCCCAAGCGCAGGAGGTGTTTATTCTAAAGGCCATTAAGGGTAAAGAATGCCACTATATAGTTTCCAATCCCTCGATTTATAACTTTTTTTATTTTCCTTTTCAGACAACATGAAGGATCTGATAATAGCCAAGCTGTGCTGCCAAGGCGAGGAGCTCTACGCCGATGTACTGCGTGCCATGCAAAAGGAGTCTGTGCGTAGTTTGTGGGACAAGGAGTGGATACCCACGATCGCTGGAAAGCAGGCCGGTTTTCATGCACTGACCCAGCTCTACCAGAGCTATGTATGTCGGGCCGGAAAAAAGATAGGCGAAGAGATCGCTCGCTTGCGCAATGCGGTGGATCTCTTCAAGGCGGCGCAGTCTCGTGGTGGTAACGAGACGTATCTGGATGACTACTTCAGCAAAGCCAAGCGCAACCTGGCCGAGTCCGTTAAGGACAACGAGTTTATCTATAACGAGATGATCCCCGAGCTTAGCTCTCTGGCTTCGCCAGGCAAGGCCCAGCTGGCCAAGCCTCTTCCCATTGCTGCGCCCTTAGCTGCTAACTTCAAAGACATTTTCACCAGTTTGGTGCCCGTTGAACTGCATCGCGCTCTTACCGCCTCCGATATGCGTCGCAACGAAATCGTAAACGTTGAGATCATTAAGCTGCGAGAGTCCACTCAAACCTTGAATGCCGTCCTGGCTAGCTTGAATCTCCCAGCTGCCGTGGAAACAGCAGATGGTAACAGCGGCCTGCCTCCTTCCCTGCAGGACAAAGCCAACGAAGTGCGTCAAAAGGGCGGCATCGATAACATTCAGACTCTGTTGAAGGACCTTCCGGAGCTTCTCGATCGCAACCGTGAGATTCTTGACGAAACCGAGCGACTTCTTGATGAAGAGCGCGATTCAGACAACCAACTGCGAGCTCAGTTTAAGGAGCGTTGGACCCGCATCGGTTCCGATAAACTCACAGAGATGTTCCGCACCAACGCCAAGAAGTACCGCGAAGTGATTAACAACGCTATTGAGGCTGATAAGGTTGTGCGCCAGAAGTTCGAAACCAATCAGAAGGGCATCCAACTGTTGTCCCTGCCACCCGATCAAATCCAGCAATCACTCCCCTCGTCCAGTGGTAGTGTAGACCCCAACTGTTCCAGCGTGCAGCGCCTGAAAAAACTGATGGAGGACGTGGAGACCATTAAGGCTGAGCGTGAAGCCGTAGAATCCGAACTTAAAGCCGCCACATTTGACATGAAGGACGAGTTTCTGCTGGCCTTGCAGAAAGATGGTGCTATCGATGAGCCGGCATTGTCTCTGGCCCGCATCGGTCAGGTTCTAAATCCATTGCAGCAGCAGGTTCGCGAGAGCGTTGAGCGCCAAAAATCATTGGTTTCTGAAATTCAGAGTGCTCATGCCGCCTTTGTTTCTGAAACCGGGAACTGCGGCAGTTCAAGGGATACCTTGTACCAGGAACTTGCCACTGCCTACGATAGCTATGTGGAGCTATCCGGAAATCTGCAGGAGGGCACTAAATTCTACAACGACCTCACTCAGCTGCTGGTCGTTTTCCAGAACAAGATCAGCGACTTTGTGTTCGCTCGCAAGACCGAGAAGGAAGAGCTGCTTAAGGACTTGACCACTGAGTCCAGTCGCCAGGCCTGTCCCGCCACTCCGGCTCTGCCATCCCATTACGCCTCTACTTCTGGCAGTGGAAGCGGTAAGTCATTATCTTTCATAAGCTAAGGAATGGTATATGAAATTGGTTTCCTCAGATATTCCAGCAGGATCTGCACCGAATGTGCCGCCAGCTACACCTGCAATGACCGCTCCATACCCGGCTCAAATGCAAGGCATGCCAGTTCCCTACGGAGCCCAACCAAACGTTCCGTATCCAACTTACGTGCCGCCGCCCATGCCTCAGAGCTTCAATCCGTACGCCACCTTGCCGTATCCGGGCAGTAAGTTGAAAATAGCTTCTGAAAATAAGAATCCTAATTACTTTTTATTGTTCCTACAGATTACCAGTACCCTGGTTTTCCACAAGGACCCCCGCCCGGACATTACGGCACCTATCCCGGTAGTTATGCCACCCAGCAAGGTGGATATCCGAACCAGAAGCCCCCAGGATGGTAAATAACCCCACAAATACACAAGCTTATGTCCACATTTACGCAGGATCGATCGCATGGGAGAGCCTTGGATGAGTGGTGGGGAATGAAACGAGATGGGATGGACGGTATTAGGCATTTAATGCTCCGCATTCTGATTCTGTTTGAAAATTGTATCATAAATGTTGAAGGCTTTTTGGATTTTAATCTCATATATGCAACAATATTATCACGTATCACAGTAAACGTTTGTCTTAGACTTATTAAAAAAAAGCTACACACTGTCGTTTTGCAATCTCCGAAAGAATTCACGCTTCATTCCGGCAATAACCCGTGGAGCACACATGCTGCTGACCAGAAACTCGCAGGTGGAGCTTATGGGCGACGACTCCGATGGATTTTGAGAGTTCGGTTTGATCCTCTTTGAGTTATTCTCCAGCAATAACCTGTATTCCTCTGATGGCATCACCTCCAGCGGCTTAATGGTTAAGTTCATATTCCTACGCAGATTCCGGCAGTCTGTTGCATTGAGGTAATCACTGTCCCAAAGCTTTCGGTTATCCTGACCGCTCTCCATGTTCTGAACAGCCCGCTCGAACTGCGCAAAGAGCTCGCTGGGAGTCGAGACAACATCCTCCAGCTGGTTGGGATTCAACAGGTACTCCTTCAACTGATCGCTTTCGCCCTTCACGAAGCTTTCTACAATGTGCTTGACCAAGAATTCGTCCAGTGCCAGGTCCATGTCGGCTTTAAGTGGGACCCAGTAGTTAACGCTTAGAGAAGTGGACAAAGCCTCCACGTAGTGCCACCAATGGCGTGGAACAATAAGAACGTCGCCTGCTTGAAGGTTACAATGATGGGCATATGGAGCTAGTGTTTTGTAATGGTGCATCTTCTCTGGAGCGGGCGCATAGAAGTTCTCCAGGCAGTAAACACTGGACTCTTCGTAGGGAATCCGTGTACTTTGAAGAGGAGTCTCCGGGGGGAATAGTAGCCAGGACTTGCTGCCATGCACTTGCACCACAACGTTTACACCGAAGGTATCGTAGTGGCAAGGGGTATTCGCTTGTTCCGACCCAAGCCACAGGGCGAAGTCGTCACCGTGATCAGGAAAACCAAAGCAAGCAAAGTCAATGCCCCGTCGACAATTGGCGGGTAACTCCTGAGCTCTTTTATACTGGAACGCTGCCCAGTGAGTTTGTTCCTCATCCAGCTCGCCATATTCCCGGAGAAACTGTTGCATGCTCGTCAACTGATTGTCTCGTGTCCGCTTCCTCTCCCACTGAGGTGTGCTGCAGTCCGTCAGTCCCATGAGCTCAAAAGCCGGCGGTTGGGACGACTCCCGGTCGAACCTTTCGCACCAGTCATGCAGCGAGCCTTCAAAGCACTCCCAGTTCAGCGGAAAGTCGTTAATAATGAGTGGCACGCTGGTGTTTAGGATCAGATCTCGAAGTTTGGAGCTCCGTGACATTTTGTCAAGACAACGCTTTGAACAGGGCTGCCAGACTGCAAGATGGCAACAGTATTGTCGAAATTTTGACCTCCAATAGTACAAAAATTAGCTTTAAGGTAGTTTTACCTACCTTTAAGTCGTTTTTAATTTCTTTAAGTCATATTTTATATATTTTATCTACTGTCAGATCTACTTATAAAACCTACACCGCTTGGCAGCCCTTCGCAAATCGATTCTATCTATTGGCGCGAGAATTCAAAAATTTATTTAAAATTCTTTACAGTTTGCATCCTACCGATTAAATTAATAAAATCTGTTGGGCATAGAACTGTTTATTTAATCTGTAGGTAGTCGTAAGGACTCATTCTCTTAGCTGGTGAATGTTCCGATGAAGCAACCGCACTTTCCGCATTTATGATTCGCGGTTTTGAAGGACTTCATGAAGTAAGGAATAAGGAAGCATCCGCAACATCCGCACAAAACACAGACTAACAACGACGTTAGATGAGTCTTCGAACACACTTCGTACGTGACCCTAGATAGTTGATGAGCCTTACAGCTCGGGCAGGTCACTACACATGGTCTATTGCCCAAAATATTTTGTGGCGGTGCTGCAAGTTATTAAATTTTTTCTTTCTTAGATGTATTATTTTTAAATATGGTTTATTTTTTACCTTGGATGATAGTCTGTGGTATTTGGGGTGGAGCGGATTGGTCCATGTTCCTTATTTAGCTGCCTCTTTTCGATGTGCGACCTAGTCAAACTCAGTCTCAAAACTGAGAAACTACTAACCTAACTGATAAGACGCAGCGCCAAATTATTTTATGATTGTATGAGTAAAAAGATTAAAAGTACATGAAGAAATATTCCCAATTATAATTGGGCTATATAGCTTTATATACATGTTACGAATATGTATATTTATATACATATTATTTTTTCAATAAGTATTTCCCAGCACAATGATCCCAAGCACTCTAATCTCGAGTGATACGCAAATACAATTAGGTGAAATGTTAGTTTAATTAGTTAGAATTTCGGAATTACATAATTGCAATCGAGATTGCGTGAAGAACTCGTTCTGCAGATCAAGTTGTAGCTGCAGATAGGTAGCGCTGCCCCGCACGCAAAGATCTGGTTGTTGTCCCATCTCCGTGGTCTCTTGTCTCAGTTTCAGCTCGTATTTAGATTCGGATTGGTGTGGTTCCTAGGACTCTCGGATGGGCTACACTTTGAGATAATTACTTTGATATGACAGGCGGAAATGGCGTTAACAAGTGGTAACTTCTGGCTCCGACGGCCGTGACTGTGATACCCAGCATTTGTTGAACATTTGGCTGGACGAGTGTTATCCGACATTTGATTGCCAGAACTGTTATCTGCGAAGGAAGCCATTCTCCCTGATGATGGCCATAAAAAATCAATGAGCGTCCCAGAGAAGAACCGGCCCAGCCTACTTTTTTCAGTTTCTATTCCTTTGGCAAACAGTTGACGGCATTTGTCATAAAAGTGATTTATGTCTCATTCGCTGGCTCTGCGCCCGCAAAACTACAAGTCATTAAATCTACTTAAGCCGCGCACTCAATATGCCACAACCAGAAGAATTCTGGCGTCCCTGCTGAAACGGGGATACGGGTGAAAAGTTCAACGCTCGTGAGTCAGCAGAGGCTACGGCAGTTTGCTGGAAGTCAGGAAGGCATAAGCCGCGAAAACAATTATGCGCCAGAGTCGCCAAAAAAATGAAATAAAAAAAAAAAGATATAGGGAACTTAAGGGGACCCCCCCCATTCTCGGTTTTAAAAAATCGATTTTTTTTTTTTAATTTAATTCGAACTTGTAACTATTCAAGAATGTTCCCTGAAAATTTCAAGTAAAAATTTCAAAAACTCTTGAAGATATAGCCGATTTATGGTGGAAGTCTCAGGCGACGGCGAGAGCCGTCTCAAAACTTTAAACGCGTTTTTCTCGAAACAGTGTTTTTACGACTGGCGCATGAGGTTACTCAAAAACTATTAATCCAATCGGTTCCAAATTTTAACACGTTATTCTATACATATATAGCTCTCGTATGAACTAGGATAAATCGAATCGGTGAAGATCTTCCTTACTTTTCAACTCGATTTGTGGCTGAAAAAATGGAAATTTCCAAAAAAAATTTCAAAGGTCCACCATTTTGTTAATTTTTGAGCGAAGTTAATAATCCTAGTTCATACGAGAGCCAAACATGTACTTTTTCTAATCCCGTTGGAATTTTTGGATTCAGATGTTCCAGTGAGCGGAAATCACATGCGCCGCCGAAAAGAAGGGCTTTTCTTTGATCACAAAAAACAACAACAAAAACAAAACAAAAAAAAATTCTGTGAAATGATTTTCTTCCTTTTTGTGTCTTAATATATGTAAGCACAGTTACAACCCTAAAAAATAATTTATGTTCATTTGCCAGCCCATTGAAAATCGTCAAAATTTAAAATCGAGAATGGGGGGGGTCCCCTTAAGTCGCAGAGGGAAAAACGAACAACATTATTTATGCGCCGGTTTGGAGGTGCGCCATCTGTCTACCCGAGTTCTTTACATTATCGTTTCTTTTTTGTCGTCGTTATTATCGTTATAGCTGTGTTACTTGGCGCTGGATTATAAATATGTATCTGTATCTCTGTCTGAGGCTTTATCTGCCGAATGAGATACTGCGCATGCGCACGCTTCCGTTTTCGGAGCAATCTTCCCATGGTTGGGCTTTCGAAACACGCCCCGGCTGGCGGCTTATGGCTTATGGAGCTATAGCCTCTTATATAATTAGCTCGGCGCGACTTGGATTTTTTTTGCAGACAGTTCCGCTGCCTGGGCAACCAAAGAGCCAAAGAACTGGGAACTCTCGTGTCTCCGTCGTGACAGCCGCCAAATTTGCCAGACACTTATCTGCACACCGCCCTGCGAAATCTGCTTTACCTTTTTGGCCAAGTCAACAAACTTCTGGCAGACGTATCCGCCCCTTTCTGGCTTCTTTGTCTGCCACTGGCCTAAGACTGGGAAATGCGACTGGGGAGGTACATATTTAAAAATCAGTCAATATTTATTTATCAAAACAAAATCGTTCATGCACTTAACCTAGCTTGATATTTGACATAATTTATTGATGCAGTCTGGGCTGGGAATGTACCTGCCACCGGTGTGTCACGTTGATATGGTTGATGGCCTGCCTGGCTGCTCCTGCCCAAATCTGTTATTGTATTGTTTTATTGTTTGCCGTTTTATAAAAATAGACTTTATCCTCCCCCAATTGTTGGACAGTTGGTGGAATGAATTATGCATAGCTCGGTTGGGACGCCAAGCAGGAATTGGACGGAAGTGAGGACCAAAGCCCCTTAAAGAGTTTAGAAATAGAGGACCCTGCACCACGCAGTCTTTTCAAGGTTCATCCACGGACTTGCACTGTACCCTAGATTACGAGATAATGTTCTGGTAGAACTGCGGCTTGTTCTGATGCTCCTTGATGACGTAAAAGCCCTTGGGCTTCCCGTTGCCGGCGAAGTATTTGTGGAAGCTCTGCTTGCTCACCGCCTGCGAGGGGGCGTAGTAGGTGGGCGACTTGGGCTTCAGGGATTTGCGGTACTTGGATTTGCCTCCGCCCGCACTGAAGCCCTTCTCCGCGGTCTCATTCTCCCATGGATGGCGCCAGGTGGGCACGTTCTCGATGTCCAGTAGCCGGTTGCGATCCGCGGCGGAGACGTGCGCAAAGTGCGGCTTCTTGGCCAGAGCCTGCTTCAGGACCGGCAGATTCCAGTGGTAGATGCGTCCCGGTCTGCCATTCGAGCTAAAGGGAAACGATACCTGCAATTGAAAGAGCACTGATTAGACAACATTACTCGGAGTGGGTTTCGGGACTAGCACGGGGACTGGGACTGGGTCTTAGACTCTCATCTGGCGTCCCATAAATCAGACGAGGCTCCGGCGTCTATATCAGGCCTGGCTCGCTCCAGAGATGGAGAAGGAGTGGAGCTAACAAATTGCATTTTTAATTGAAGCTCGGACTTGGTTAATGGCCTGCATATTAATTTCTGGTTCAGGCCGGAGTCGTGAGAGCGTAATAATTTTCGTGCCACCGGCCTGTCTGTCCCGACATCCACTGACATTGACACTTGCCGCATTAATTCCGCAATAAAGAGAAATCCATGTATTACAGCTCGGAATGCAGCCGTTGTCACGGGCAACTGCCACGATGGCCTGACCCTATCTGGGAAGCTATTTATAGGACAGCGGTCCGTGCCCAAGATGCCCATTTCGGGCATTGGGGTAACACGCACATCGCTCCATCTAAAGACGGAGCAACAAAGTAGCTGCTGCGGTGCTTCTTTGGCTCTTTGCTGGGTTCTCCCCAGTCTGCAACGGTCTCCCCAGTCTGGTCTCCCAAGTCTGCCCCATCGGCCCAAATGGGTAATCCATTTCGCTTCCCCTTTCCCCCCCTTATGGCTTCCAGAATCTATTTTGCAATTTGTTTTATGCGCATGCGCGGCGATGTTTATCGCCAGGCTAGGTCCAAAGCCGGCCAAGATTGGCGCGAGAGCCAGTTCTGGGGAGCCTAGGGGAGTGCATTGTATATATGTATGTATTGTGTGTAATTGTGTGTGTGTATGTCTATGGTGTAACCTAATGGAATCCCGTTTACCTTTTTCCCGTTAGCTTTCAACGCCGACGCCTCGGTGTCCGATGTTGCTGCCGCATGTTGCTCATGACTCGATGTTGCTGTTGATGTTGCTGCTGTCAGAGCATTCTTGCTGGGTGCGTTGCCACCACTCGACTTGTCGCTGGCCATGGTAAGATGATTCGGAGCATTCTTCGCATCGGGTCCTGCATAGTAGTGCATATTTGGCGGCAATTTGATGATAAACATGTGTGAATCATCGCGGGCAGCGTGTCGTCGTGACTCAACCGCCAGGCGCTTCCGGTTGTGGCTGTTGGGCGCCTTCACCTTCGTGAATCCCATCTGGCTGCAATCATACCAAGAGGTTCGGTGTGGTTAGTGTAATAGAGGTTAGTCGGGGCGGAATGGGTAGAGGGTTCCCTGCTGCCAGCAAGCAGTCTGTCTGGCGAACGTTGTAAGCGTTTTCCATGAATATTTCATTATATAATTTATGGCTGGCAGCAGGGGATGAGCTACACTAGACATGTTGCTTTAATTAAGCCCAAAATAGGAGGCGGTCTATACTTCATTCTCCCCTTTATCAGTTGGAAAAATAAATTATTTATTCAGATAATCCATTTCTCATTAAGATTTTACAAAACTCTTCTTTCTTTAACTTTTAACTAATAGAATTAGGACATCATTTACATAATTTTAACTGCAATTCTATCATTTTTATAAATAACTCTTTCTCTATCAATAGAAATAGATATTTTTTGTTCAGTGTTGCAACTTACCTAAGCAACTTCTTGTTGAGGCCGTGAGCGCTTCTGGCCAGTTGGTTGGACTGCTTGACGGCCGTCAGAGGACTCGTTCCTTGGCGCCTGTCCTGCCGCTTGGTCTTGTGCAAGTGTGCCACATCCTTGGCCAGAGATGACGCAGCTCCCGCTCGCACTCCCTGTCCAGAGCTGCCGGCCTGAGCCACTGCAGCGACACACAGGAGGCATAGGAACCTGCGGGATAAAAACGTCTTTTATGGCTGGCTTTTTATGTGATGGCGTGGTGCGTTTTATATGTGTGCGAAATTCTATAAGGGATTAGGCTGCCTGCGGTTTGATTGTACCCTTGGCCGGGGTTCAGGGTCGCTGTGGCGGCACTCACTTTGACAGGTGAGCCGGACTGAAGGTCTTAATTTCCAGATACAGATACTAGTTCTGTTTTGTTCGGCTTTTTGGGCGGGGCAGCAGTGTAACCCAAGTCATACACTTTAAATAGATGTGCCCCCCCGTTGAAACTGAAAACCATTGCTTTTACTGTTCCTGTTCGCTCTGAGCCGGAGTGTCAAGTAATAATAAGGAAGAAAGCGGAAAACAAAGCAGATAAAAATGCAAATAAGCACGTACAATTACGGCAAAAGGGGAGGCGATCACTGGAGGGGAGCAGCGACTCACTCCAGAGATGGGAAACCCACGAGGCGTGCGAGCATTAGAATGGCCCATAATGCATATCTCCGGGGGTGTTGCAATCACCGATACCTTGCCTCTAAATGCAGCATTAGGCGATTGTATTCCCTATGAGAAAGTGCCTCTTGGGAGATTCTCCTCGTTCCAGCCATCGTCCGTCCACCGGAGACTTTGTCAAGCGAAATGCTATTGACCGACTAAGCGGCTTCACATAAGATTCCAGCCCGTGGCGGTCGCCGTTCGTTACAAATTATAATGGAAATTGGCTGGGTTTTATGCAACAAATGTAACCGAAGGCCAGGCGACGTGCCCGGCATTCTGACTTGGCCAAGTCTCCAGCCCGAACATAATGCATGCAAAAACTAAAAAAAAAAATAACGAAAATACGGCTGAAAAACCTTAGAAGACTGAAGAAAAGAGGCTGCATACATTGCGAGCTTAAGGCTGCAGGCGGGATTAGAGGCCAACAAGCACGGGATGATGGACAGGATGAGGGGCCAATCGATTTTGTGCTGGAGTGGTCTGCGAAATTGCAAATCCATGGGAGCCCAATCGAAGCGCCCAAATCAACACGTACTTAGCAGTGGCCATGGCCACCACATGCTGCCGTTACCCACTCCATACTCCACACTCCACCGGCCAAGCCAAACAAACACCGCAGGCGGGGACCTCCACTCCCGACTCCTGCGCCTGCTCCTGCATCTGCTCTTTTGTGTCCTCCGTGTGTCTGTGCTGTGGTTTTTGTGGCCATTTTCATGTTAACTTCGTATTGATAAATTGCAGAATAAGTGAATGCATTTTTTGTGGCTGTTGCTGGTGTTGTTGTTCTTGTCCGGCGTCGTCCTGGGCCCCAACATATGCGGCATTTTTGAATTATTAATGAATTGCCGGCACAAAGGAGCCCGCAAGCCAAATACACTACATAAGAACAACAGGAGCAACACCAACGGACACAATCCAGCGAAACACTTCTCTGCCCCCTGAGAGGAGGTTGCGTGTTGCAAGTTTCGAACAACGAACAACAAATTTTGTAAAGGGTTTCGTGTGAAAATTCGGCAGGGCGAGCATTTCTGCAGGTCACACCATCCTTGACTTTTTCAACAGATTCTAGTCTGGATTTAGTCAAAATTGTACGTTTTATTCAATACGAGGGAAGAGAGATACAATTTAGGACTCATCATCATGCGTATCGATTTGAAAGCTATGCTATTGGTTTCCATGTCCTCTACTCCGGAGCATGTCATTCGTATGAGAAAACGCTTCGTATTCGGCAAAGTCAGGTAGGTTAACAAGATCATTTGCAATGAATATATAGTAATGATCAGATATAGCTACTTGGTGAGCTATGAACTTCAGAAGGGTCACTTGATCATCCGTCAGGTCAAACGAGTACACACTGCACCCACCCTGGCCATGCGAATCAGACAGCGTCGACGTCTCTTGAAAATGAGATTAAAACGTGGAATCACTAGCTTTGAGAATGAAACTCAGACCGCCCACAGCCATTCCATAGCCGTTTGCACGGAGAAACCACCTCAAAGATCCATTGCTGTAGGCCCTTCCCTCCCAGAAAGTAATTCCAAGTCCACGCAGGCAACAAATTCTGTCGCTGATGTAGCCACGGAAACTCGAAATAAATGTAAAACTGTAGCGGTGGGAACGGAGAATCTGGACAGGAGAAGATACAGTTCAGTAGCCAGTGATACCCAGGCACTGCGTTTGGAAAGCCAAGAGTGGGCCACTAGTCAGGTGGATACCTTCGATCTCGTCCTTACCATGTCCAGAGAACAGCAGACCATAAACCCTATTAGCCGGAGCTCAGTTAGCCAAACCGAGCCGCAACTTCAGATCAGTTGGGGCACCCAGGTGGAGGTCAATTCCACGACTACCACCACTCAGACGAGATTTGGCTGCTTTAGTACTGCCACCCAAACGGAATATTGTCACCTTACCGATTCTAGTGTCCAAACCGATTGGGATTGTCAGCATGTAGACACACAGACCTTCGACGAGGAGGAATGGACCAGCCCCCACTTGGATATCTTGTATTTAATTTATGAATTGATCAAAAATCAAAGCGACACTATCCACGATGAAGTTCTCACAGCCATAAATCAGCTGGTGGATTTAACTTTGATGGACAACCAAAAGCGACGTTGGGAAGATGCAAAATTGTTGGAAAGATTACAAAAGTGTGCACCGATGGATCAGATTGGAGATCATATATCAAGGACCCCCATACCTTCTATTGTACCGCAATCACAGGATCAACAGGATCAGTCACCACAGGAGGCAACGGAAAAGAAACCCGAAGAACCTTTCCCTAAGCTTGAGCCTAAGTCTAAAATTGAAAGGTGAATTTAGGATCTTAAGACTTTTTCGAATAAACTGGTAAAGCGAGGAAAATTTTATTTAATGTCAATGGGTTTGTTATTTCTTTTTATTAATTTGCTTGTTTTTCTAAAAGCATTTCCATATAAGAGTGTCCTAAAGTTTACCACCAAAGACGATATTTTTTGTTCAGCTTTTGGAATTCCTGAGTACCAAGCTGGGGGCAATAACAATAAAATGTCTACCTTGTGGCTGATTTAGCACCCAACTAACCCGCAGGTCCGGCAGAGGCAAGAGGCTGTCTGCCTGGCAGTCCTTGTACTGCCCAAAGAGATGCAAAAAATGTGGCTCGCATATGCACCGGACCAGGAGCAAAAAGGCCATGTCCACCGAGTAAGTGGCTCACCTTTCGAAGCTACACCCTTTTCATTTTTTTTTTTTTTTACCAACAGTAGTCATGGCACCCAGACGGAGGAGAATATAAAGTTCGTGGCGCCCGTGTCGGATACGCAGTCGGAGAAGGAGCGGGGACGCTGAAGGCTGGGATGCAACTATTTCCCAGGATCCCTTTAACTTACCCAATCAGCCAGGTCATTACCGATGTTCTCATCCAAGTGGCACTCATAATGATCAACTTATGCTGTTTCTGTTGGCACTGTTTGCATGTGAATTAAATGCATGTAATGTTAGAAATCACAAATTCAAAGTCGTTTGCTTGTGGCGCCAAACTTGAGGCAAATGCATCTAACAGATTCGCGTGAGCAAGGAGCGGATACGGGTTTCGGTTTACGATTCGGGATGTTGGGATTCGGATTCGGATTCGGGACTCGGATTCGCTAGTCAGCCGCAGAAACGTCCGCACACGATAAAATCTCGCCAAAGACTGAATGACGAGGCCGGTCGTCGTTGCCGTTTATGCCACAGAACGAAACCGCCGAGTGGCTCGGGGTATTTCAGCTAGGTGGTGCACCAAGCCATGACTAACAATAATTCTTTGAACTAACTTTCCCAAGTCATTGTAATTTTGTGAATGAAACCGCATTGGAAAGCACGTTGGGGAATGGTTTTTAAATAAAACGTCATAATATATATGAAGTACTTAAGTTCTTAGACCTTGCCTAGGCTTTAGGTTTAAACTTTAAGAATATTTGATCTTAAACAAGTGGAAGAGTTTTGTATATTCAGTATTCAGGTAAAGTTCTCTCCTAAAATCTATATAGTATTTTGATTAACCCTTACTTATTACATAAGATAGGGCATTAAAAAGTCAGTAGCAACAATACGATACTAAGTTCTTTCTTTGGACATTCGTGGAGTGGCTTCGACTTCGAGTTTAGAGTTCGGCTTTTGTTTACGTTCCCATTCCCGATGGCCCCCTTCCGTTCTGGGCCCCACCACCTTGGCCATCTTACCCTTGCCGACGGTATGCAAAAAGCAACAAACAACAATAACAAAAGTCACGCTTAACGACTGTGACGTCGTCGCGACTTGGCCAGGTTCCCCCAGCACCAACTCCATGCTTCGGCTTTGTCCAGTGTCCAGATCGGGACCGGCTTCTAAAAGCCAAGCCAAATAATAAACATGCAAGTGCCGCATGGCGTGGCATAGAAAAGAATAAAGAGTGGCAGCCAAAAAAAAAATACAAAAACAAACCAAGCCTAGTCGGGGTGTGAATGCAGAGACATCTCTGACAGTGACCAGGAATCTGGGGAAATCTGGGAGTAGCCGTGGTAGCCTCTCTTTGCTGATTGATTATCCTCCCGGCCAGGCTGAGAAAACGCCCCCTCGAAAAAAAGGGGTTGCAGTTTAATTGAGATTTATTTATGGTATGTGCCGGGCAAAGACAAAAGAACTTTCAGATTTCAGATGCTCCTGGCCCAGCCTCCGGGCCCAGGTCAGGTTCCCATCAAGAGCCACGTCCATAATAACAAGCAAACAATGCGCTGTGTTTCTGGGACCTGGCAATATTTGGACAGTGGGCAATTGAAGAACTCCAATTGTGTGAAGTTGTTGTTGCAGTGGTTGTTATCGATGATGTTACATCGGCTGCTGCTTTTGCTGATTTTGTGGCTATTACACAAAAAGAAATTGTTTACCATAAGATTATAATAACCTAAGAATATACTCTCAAGAACTCTCAAAAAAACTATTTCATAATTGCCTAAAAGAGAACTGTCTTCAAGTAAATAACTAAAACTTTAAAGGATTCTAACAAAGAACTATTGGATTTTTCCAAGTGAATATATTTCATCACAAAGAGTTCGGTGAGCAACGGTTTGGGTTGAAAATTGGGCGGACGCCGCCTGCTTGTTATTGCCGATTGTTGGCTATGAGTGGCATTGGCAGTGGCAGTGGCAGTGGAAGTGGCAGCCTTTGTTGGACAACTTAACAGATTGCAATTGCAGGTGAAGAGTGTGTGTGTGTTCTCCAGTGAGTGTGTGCCTGGGAGTGCGCTTGTGTGGGTGACACTAACTGTCTGGGGAATGGCCTGGAATTCGAGTAACCATCCCACCCATTCTAGCCTAGCCATCATATTGATTCCAGTGTGGGGCTAAGTGGCATGTTGCGGTTTACTCATTCAACAATTTGGGGCCAGCTCGCTTTAACTGCCTAGAATGCCAAAATCAACGCCCACCAGGAGTTCTCGAGTTCGTTAAGCCCAATTAGGCAATTGAGAATCCAGAGCAAAGTACAACTTTCACTTTAACTGCGAACAATGGCAAAAACAAATTCGCAGACACAACAAAATGGCGCAGACAACGAACTTCCAAAAAAAAAAAAAAAAACACCAATGGCAAAGCAAAATGGCGTCTGTTGCATCCTTCCGGTCTCACCCAAAAAAGAGTCATGGCCAAAAAAAAAAAACGCAAAAATGGAACAGAGAATAGAGAAACTTCTAGCATCCTCCCTGGGTATTGTGGTCTGTGAAACATGGTTCATAAAGCTGCCATAAAAAATGTGCTGAGGGGCAATCATTTCCCAGAAGTACCTGCCTACATAACATAGTACATATAAACCGTGCCTGCTTTGTACTTGCAAATTTCCGCAAGCGGCCGCAAATGATTAATGTCAATAAACGTTGGCCCATGGAAAATACTGTGGAACGTTAGATGGTGGATACTCGGTGCTGGCTGCCGGAATCATTGAAGAAAGCTGTCTGTCTATCTGTCTGTCTGCCTGTCTTTTGGCGGGAGTCTTCATGTGGGTCGTGAACCTGCGCGTACCTCCAGCCAACTGAAAGCTGAGGAAGAATCGAGGACAGCAGCGATCCGCAAGCGTCGTGTGGGAGCACAAGTTCAAGTGGTTCCAATGGGCCAGTGTTGATGGTCAGGTGCAGCGGTGGATAACCTCGATAAGTTGAAAATTGCCGGTGCATAGATGCTGCAATTACGGCCGCCATGAGGCAGCAATTCGGTGGGAGCGAAAGAAAATCGGGCACGCCTCAGTGCAATAATTAGCTAGGCGATCTAATGAGGAATTTGAAAGTGGTAACGCCTGCGCCTTGTGGCCCCGTGGGATATGACAACTGTATTTTTTGTAGTTTTTTTATTTTTGTCTTTTTGCCAGGCATGTCCAGCAATTTCACCGCTCGTTTCAATGGCGGCATTTGCCTAAGGTCTTAAACTTGGTTTGTGCCACGTCACTTGCGCCGCGCATGCGCATTGCTTGGAAAATGTGACAGGTGAGTGAGTGGGGAACTGCTGGCGAAGCCCATGGCGAAGGTGGGTAAAACCTTTTGGCGGAGCACGCGATGTGCCATCGAATATAGTGAGTCCCAGCCAAAACCAATGGAATGCCAAGGGTCATTGTCATTGGATGAAGACTGGAGACTGGTAGAGCCTGTGACAGCCATCCTCTAATTGAATTAACAGTTGAGAGAGCCAGAGGCAGACGTGCGGAGGGTGATGCATTCTCGGCCCCACACAGCGTCACCAAGTGGAGAATCTCTTCCATGCGCAATTTAGCTAACGGCGGGTTCTGCATTTAAGCCATATTTGGCTGGATCCGGTAAATGGTTTTCTGCTGCCTGATTGACAGCCGCGAGAAACTCGTTGAAATTGAGGTGTTGATGGAGTGTCAACCAAAAAGGATCCGCTGGATCTTCTGAATCGATCAATGAGGACCGTGGCCCACTTGGTTTTTAGCCACTAACGTATTTAACGATATGTCGACCTTTTGTGAACATTAATGCTTAAAAATCATGTATTTGGTCAACGGAAGCGTGCTTAAGCGTTAAATATATTTGGATCAGTTACATTTATTTTAATTATTGGTACGGAGCACAGAAACATTTAAATATATATATGTACGTGCCTAGAACAAAATTACTTTTCCACATTAGAATTTATTAACTTTTATAAATAAATTATAAGCATAGTTGTAAATTTAGAAAACATTTATAAATTAAACAAAAACATTTTTTAAATACCTAATATTAACCAAGATTAATAATTTATAAGCTTTATTTTTAAATTTTCTTAATACACGATTGTGATCTAGAACCAGAAATATTGAATTTGTAACATTCTACACCTTGTGCTGTAACGCCATCTAGCGTGTCAATTGTTCAACACAAGCCGAAAGGATTTTCGCCCTCACCGCGACTGGTCTCACTTTTATTGTATTGAAACGTCCACACTGACGCATAATTGTGTATTGAAAGACTCAATTTTATTGAAGAGAAAAGTTCAATAAATCTGCTGAAATGACGTCGTTAGATCCGGCGCCGAACAAGACATGGGAGCTATCCCTCTACGAGCTGCAGCGCAAACCCCAAGAGGTCATCACAGACGGCACAGAAATCGGAGTTTCCCCCAGGAGTCTCCACAGCGAACTGATGTGTCCCATCTGCCTGGACATGTTGAAAAAAACAATGACGACTAAGGAATGCTTGCACCGTTTCTGCTCCGACTGTATTGTAACTGCTCTGCGATCTGGCAACAAGGAGTGCCCCACATGCCGCAAGAAATTGGTCTCCAAGCGCTCGCTCCGCGCTGATCCCAACTTTGACCTTCTCATTTCGAAAATCTATCCCAGCCGTGAGGAGTACGAAGCCATACAGGAGAAGGTGATGGCCAAGTTCAACCAAACACAGTCGCAACAAGCTTTGGTCAATTCTATCAACGAGGGCATTAAGCTGCAGTCCCAGAACCGACCTCAGCGTTTCCGCACCAAGGGTGGCGGCGGAGCTAACGCAGGTGGTGGTGCGGCTGCTGGCGGTTCCGGCCGAAATGCCTCTAACCAATTGAATGTGCACGATACAGCCTCCAACGACAGCAACACGAACAGCACCGACCGCGATAACCGGGAAACGACCCAAACGGCTCCATCTACGCCAGCAACAACAAATGCCAATCCCGCTGCACCGACTCCACCCACTTCATCAGCCAACACTGGAACAACAACCGGATCAGGCGCCAGCACCTCCTCCACTCGTATGCAGGTGGACGACGCCTCCAATCCTCCCTCCATTCGAAGCACCCCGTCTCCTGTGCCGTCGAACTCAAGCAGTACCAAGCCTAAACGCGCTATGTCAGTGCTTACATCAGAGCGGTCCGAGGAGTCCGAGTCGGATTCTCAAATGGATTGCCGCACAGAGGGTGATTCTAATATTGACACGGAGGGTGAGGGTAACGGCGAGCTTGGAATTAATGATGAGATTGAGCTTGTGTTTAAGCCGCATCCAACTGAGATGTCCGCCGATAACCAGCTCATCCGGGCGCTCAAGGACAATTGCGTGCGCTACATCAAGACCACGGCCAACGCGACTGTGGACCATCTCAGCAAATATCTAGCTATGCGCCTAACCCTTGATCTTGGTCCTGATCTGCCGGAGGCGTGCCGCCTGCTCAACTTCTGCATCTATGTTGCTCCGCAGCCCCAGCAGCTGGTCATTCTGAACGGAAACCAGACACTGCACCAGGTGAACGATAAGTTCTGGAAGGTAAGTGACCTAAGCTACCAGTACTAGCTAGCCATTTTCATTATTTTCTTTCTTTCTTCAAGGTTAACAAGCCGATGGAAATGTACTACTCGTGGAAGAAAACCTAAGTAGGTATTAGCCAGTTATTTCCAGGTGGAAATATCCTAGCTCTAGAATCTAAAAACCTTTAAAACATTCAATACAAAGCAAAATATATTTAATTGTAAGTAAAAATGGTTTTTTAAATTTGGACTGGAATGGGTGACAATATTAACGCTTTGAACCTTGAAGTTGAAATGAATTGTGTTTACGATGCCAATATCCGCAATGTATTGATTCATCACATTCTAATCTAAATGACCACCATAATAAAAGAGAGGACTAAAGCAAGCATTCTGAAGGCACTTGAAAATGCATTTATTGTGGAACTCATTTTAAGGTCATAATAATAAAAAATCACATATAGTAAACAAGTAACATTTAAAGTAAGTAGATTTATATTCGATAGAGTCTACGGCGTGAATAGAATGTGTTAGTTTCTGGAGCATAAGCTCTAACACGTCTCGTGCGGATTTCTGTGACTACACCCAGAAGTTCGGTGGACGGTTTTGGTTATAAAAATTAGAAAAGGGCGATGAGGTTACACTGGGATGTGGTAGTGGTGCGAGGTAAAGTGTGGTTCTCCAAAGGTACCAACGTCTTTGGTATTTCGTTGTAAAATGAACACAAAAAGCACCCGGTAGCAGCCCGACCGACTGTATCATTTAGGCACCCGCCGCAGCTTATCTACTATAGCGTTTCGGAAATCTCGGAATTCGCTGCTGGCCTCAATCTCATTCCGACATTTGGCCTGGACACGATAGAGACCGAGATTAATGTCGTTTCGCTGACCGCTCAATGCGCGCCTGGTTAGATCCTGCTCCAGATCATAGGGAAGCCCTAGGTCGACCAGTTCGTCTACTTCGTCCTGGGCAAAGGTGTGTTGAGTTTCCTGCAGGAACTCGGAACACTTTTCATAAATGTCCAGGTACTGTTCAGTGGCGTCTTTGTCCCCGGATCTTTTAGTCTCCAGGAAGCGCCTCAAAAGCTTGGAGGCCTCCGGGTCCAGTAAAGTCTGATGGACGCTGTTCGATAGGGTGTAGATCCTTTGGACCTCCTCTACGGTCATGTCGCTGCATCCGCAGAAGCATTTTATTAATTGAACTGCTTTATTCTGGTAAAATGAAAAGGATTGAATCGAAATCTAATTTTTGGCTTAAATTCAGACTCACCTTGTAGGAAGAAGAAGCCATGTCTTCGCTGTGGGTGGAGAAGTCTAAATGAAATTTTAAGTATTTATGCCAGGTTTTATACAAGTTTATGCCAGGGGAAAAAAAATCTTCTTGGCAAAATACCTAATCGGTGTGAGAAATTTCGTCCATATGGATTCTATAAACAATACGTTGTGTGGCTTTGGTAGATTCCGTACAAAAGCCCTCAATGCCCATTTTGGCCCAAAAGCTATGGTCAGTCTAGACCATACGGTTATATTTTTTGAATATAATTTCCCGCTTCTTCGAAAGCTTCATTTTATTTTTAATTAGAGAACTTTCTTTGCATTTAATAATTTAAAAAACCAAAAAATTGTATATAAATGTAAAAGTTCTGATTTTATTGTGAAAATATAAAGTATTCATACTTGGGTTTACTTTAAAATGTGTAATGTGTTTTCAATTATATTGAACCTAAAGCTTAGATTTTAGTGCCTTCATTAGTTTCTCCAGTTTGAGGGCCTTTTGGAAATCGCCACTGATCTTTAGCTTGCCAGTCATGTATGCGGGTACCGCCTTCAGCTTTCCGGAAAACATGTCGAAGAAATTGTTCGAGTTCATGGAAAGTGTGGCATCAGGAGCAGAGGGCGGCGTGCCGGTGCCGCACGAGCCGGTACCGTTTTTGAGGTCGAGGAACCAGGTGCCCTGCTCGGATCCGCTTATGTTAAACTGGAAGACGGCCTGCGTCTTTGAAACAATCTCGGCGGAGAGGAGAGATTCGATCTTCTTAAACAGCTGGGGTATCTTCGCTGGCCCAGCGGCAGGTGCAGCAGCAGCAGCAGGGGTTGCATCATCGACGGGCGCTCCCTTTGCCTCCACAAAGAAATCGACCATCAGCTGGTCGGCATTTTCGCGGACACAAGCGTAGTCTGTCAGATTGGTGACTCCCACAGACTCCAGAACTTCATCGTCAACGAGAAACTGGCCTGTCAGCTGCCTGGGCTCCTTGCATAGGATGGCGTAGGCGGCATCAGCCATGATCTCCGGCTTGCGGGACCACTTGGCCGATTCGGGGCCTGTGAGCATTTCGATGGCCGCCGTCTGGATGGCGGTACGTGGCCACAAAGCATTAACCGCGATTCCCTGATCTTTGAACTCCTCGGCCATACCAAGAACACACATGGACATGCCGTACTTGGCCATGGTGTAGGCCACATGGGGACCAAACCACTTGGGCTTCATACTCAGCGGCGGCGAGATGTTGAGGATGTGGGCGTGGTTGCTTTTCTTAAGGTAAGGCAGGCACTCCTTGGATACCAGAAAGGTGCCTCTGGTGTTGATGTTGTGCATCAGGTCGTAGCGCTTCATTTCTGTGTCTGGAGTGGTAGTCAAGGAAATGGCACTGGCGTTGTTTACCACAATGTCGATGCCTCCGAACTTCGCAACTGCCTCTTGAATGGCCTTTCGCACCTGGTTTTCGTCGCGAACATCCACCACACAAGGATGAGCCTTTCCGCCAGCTTTCTCGATCTCTGCCGCCGCCGTGAAGATGGTGCCGGGTAGTTTGGGATGTGGCTCCGCCGTCTTGGCCGCCACAACAATGTTGGCTCCATCGCGGGCCGCCTTCAGAGCGATCTCCTTGCCTATTCCTCTGGATGCGCCCGTAATGAACAGCGTCCGCCCTGCTAGTTTGCCCGAGTTAATCATCTTGGAGTTTGTAGTTTAGACTGTTCGCCGCAAGATCTGATTTCTTACTGTCACTGTTATAATGCTGGCAATCAAAGATCCAAGAGAAAGTCCAAAGTGCAAGATCAACCCAACACAACAAGTCCGGCAACAAATTGTCTCTGAGAGCCCCAAATTTGGTTCCACTGTGCAGAGCTGAGAGCTGGAGAGAGTCTAAAATTAGTGTGGCCATTGCTCGAGAGGACGCCTAACAGCTGTTCCATTCCTGAACCGGTTCGGTTATATGACGGTCCGATTCGTAAATAACCGCATACAATTTTAAAATTTTGATTTTTTATAAATAAAATAGAAGCTGAAACCAGTAGCTTATATTTAAGGCAACTACATCTTCTCTATGTTGTTCAAGCTATTATTCGATCCAAACTGCTATTTGATAAAATAATTTAAAAAAAACATTAAAACTTATTTAAAAAGAAACGAAAATCTACTTCAAGTACAAACCCCGGTTTTTCGAACGGCTACCAAGTCAATTTATTATTTTATATCTATCATCTATCGAATACAAAAAAGGGCACACAATGGAAAACAACGATTCTTCTATAAAACCTAACGCCCAACAACTATCTTTCGCTACCTAATACATATTCCTTCAAATTTCTAGTTGAAGGATTCTAAAGTTCGTAGGCCCGGTCGCCGTTCTGTGATTGTTATATAAGAGTGTCTTCGTCCTGGCCCTCGAATACCATGAGAAGCGAGTGCTGCGACGGGGAGCGGCCCAGGGTAAGACCGCCCAAGGATCCGTCTGGAGAAAGAAGACCAGTCTGCAGGCTGTTGTTGTCCCTGTAGCCCGACGTCGAGGATGTCTGCGAGACTGAGTCCCAGGATATCTCGCCAAGGGTCTTGGGCTGTGCCTGTGGCTGCTGTTGCTGTTGTTGCTCCTCCTGGGAGAGGGGGGTTACCTCAAAAAAACCACCAGGTCTATAGTCAAAAGCGGGTAGGAAGGATTCCAGCTAACTTACAATGCTGGGTGGATCCATGTTGGTCAGGCGACTGCGCTTCAGCCGGAAGGTCTTGCGGCTGGCTGCCTTTGAGCGTTGCAGACGCGACCGGGTATGGTCTCCAGAACTATCCTCGGCTGGACTTTCCGGCGACAAGGGCGTAGTAGAGGTTTCTCCGGACGAGTGCCGGAACTCCACGGACGAGACGAATCGCAGCTTGGGGGGCTGGGCCTTGAAGGGAGCCTGCTGAAGCGACTGCGAATGCGAGAGATGCGAGGGCACGGCAGAAGCGGCGCCAGTGCCGGAGCCGGATCCGAGGCCAGAGCCACTCGGAGTGGGTCCCACCAGCGTCGGCGCCGATCCTGCGTCCGCCTCGCCGCTCTGGCTTTCGCTGGTCGTGGTGTGCGGATCGCGGCCCGTGGAGCTGCTCGACAGCGACTCCCGCGGCGGGTGCAGCGTCTGCTGCGACAGCGTGTCGCTGGGCGTGCAAATCCCGCCGGATCCGCTTCGCGAGTCGATCGGCACCGCCGAGATGTGCGAGTGCGTCGCCTGGCCGGTGGTGGTTCCTGTGAAGATAGATATGAGTGAAGGTCTTTGCTGCGACTTGTGAGCGTCTGCCGCACTGGTTGCCGCCTGGGTGTCGCTCTTCTTCTGCTCGGAGCTCTCGCGATCTGTGGAGACTGAAACATAAGCGTGTGTACGTGATGGGGCCGTAGGAGAACCTTTGGACGCGTCCACTTACCGTATCGTTTCTCCTCCAATTCGTCGCGCAGATCGCGCAGCTCCCGGGCCAGTTCCAGCAGCAGAGCTCCCTTGGATTTGATCCCACCCTGCGGCGGTGTACCACGCAATCTTTCCCTGATAATAAACTGCATGTGTCGCTCATGGTCTCCTATGGGGGGCTGTGAAATCTGGAAGGATATAAGATAATCTTATTACTATGCGCTGACTAAAAAAGAATGCGGAAAGAACTTCTTCTGATCGACAATTATTAAAACCAAAATCTGACATCTTAAAAAAAATGTAACATTACCTTGTGCAAGATAAAGGGAAGCAGGACAATATATAATGGCGTGCGATGGGTGACCACAAACTCCATAAAGCTCCAGAGATCCGGAGCAGCCTCGTTGCGTCGGCCCAAATCCCTCATAACCCGTACAATACGCGGCCACTCGTTGGACAGGCGGCTCTCGAAGCAAATGCACACGATTCGGAGGGCCAGGAAAGCCGCTTGGTAAAGGGAACCGGATATCCTGGCAGGACGCTTGGCATCGCGGCTGCCGGTAAAAGTGAGCGACCCGGCACGCAAGTCCCCAGTCACCCTGTTAATTTGGGACACAGCCTGGCCGGTGCGACCCGCCGGTGGACTCATGGCGTTAAGGACGGCAGTCAGCAAAAAGGACACGTCCGTCATCTTTAGTTCACCCACGTCGGAGACTCCGCGTCCCGAGCAAACCTTCAGACACAGCGGCATGATCAGATGCATTAGAAAACCCTCGGCCTTTTCCTGCGTGGCGAACTCAGCGCTGCCCCCGCAAATCTGGACCAGGGAGAAGCAGTCCACGGGGCTGACCACCTGCAGGGCCACCAGACGCACCACGGCTGAGCAGAAAAAGGCCGGCGGATTCTGAGACATGAGCGCCGCCCCTGCGCTGGAGACGCCCTCGGGAATGCCGGATCCGGGTTCGTTAACAATCAGATTCTGCACGGTGCTAATCAGTGTTTTCATTTGCTGCCAGTGCAGTACGTACGAATGCCGGATTATAGTCTCGTGGATGCCTTTGAGCAAACCGGCAGCCGCCTCCCAGTCGGTGTTTCGGCGTATGGAAGGTTTCTTTGAAATCTTCAGGAAGACTTTGTCGATTCGTCGTAATATGGTGACCAGAGCGTTTCGCAACGTATCATTAGACCATTCCGCCCTTGGCAAGACCGCCTGCATGTAGCGTTGCAAACCGCGACAGGCCATGGACTCCGGATCGTAGGGGGAAACCTTCAGTAAGGAGTGGGCTATGTCGGCCAATCGTATGTGACACTTGGCGTCCAGCACTTCGGTGGGCTTGGTGTCGCTCGGCATCTTCTTAGCCAGTTCTGCAAGGCGGGCTGTAGACTTTGTAAGAAAATCCGCCACCACAGACAATAGAACATCTCGTGGCCGCCGGTACTCCGTTCGTATCATCTCCGAGTCCTCGGCACAGTCCATCATATTCTTGGTGCGAGCATCAGTTACGTATTTCGGGTGAGATTCCTCCTCAAAGTCCAGGCCAGGCGAACAGGGTGGACCCCGACTACAATTCCGCTGCGAGGAGCCCTTGTGCTCCGGGCTATTTCTGTATGGTCCATTGTAGCTCTTGGCCAAGCCCTCACAATTGTGAACCATTGTGCGAATGGCAACCGCCAATTGGAGGATAATGTCCCGTTCAGACTTTCCCTGGAGAGGAATGTAGCTAGGCGATTGGATTTGTTGCAGATAGCATGGGAGGATGGCCTCCAAAATTATCTGAAAACAAATTAAAGTGTCAAGGTAAAAATATAACATAAAAAGGAATAATAAAAGCTCACCAGCATTTGATAGCCTCGAGTGCTCTCCGCCGAGTAGGAAACCACCATTACACAAAGGGTGATGCAGTCGAGTACTGTCACATCGTCATCCTCGTCGTGGTAACAGAAATCAATGGCCTTTAGGGGCTTTGGCTCCTTCACTAGCTCGGCAATATTAAGAGGATCCGGTGAGGGATCTTCCAGACTCAGCAGTAAGTTAAAGAGACAGCTGGACTGGACCTTGTGTGCCTCCCCATAAGTTCCGTCCTCATCTGTGTCGAGGATGGCGGAAACGGATCCAAACATTTGCAGTATAAAGGGTTTCCGGTTTAGCAGATAGAACTGCTTGACTGCATATTCGATTGTTGTGGTGATAAGCTTGTTGGTTTGATGCAGGGAGTAAACCTGCAGCAATGTGGGCATAATCATGAAATACCCCTTTGTGGAGAATATGTTCTTAAAGTTAAAGGCTGCGTTAATGAACGTGGCCATGACGTAACGCATGATGCACGAATCCTCGGCATGAAGAATAGATGCTCCGGATAGGACGTTCAAGAAGAGCTGGATATCCGCCGAGTAGGCAAAATTGCCAGCCATAGCTTCGAACATTCGGGCAATCAGGCGCACCCACATAAATTTGTGCAAGACATCCAGACCGAGAAGAACCTTTCCATACTCTCCGCCATGATGCAGGTCAAGGTCTACCTCCAGTGCCTTCCGTGGAAATGATGGTAGCTTCATAAGCTCTTCGTGTAGAAACACTACTCGCTGAACCACCATGTCCACGTTCTTGAGAATCGCCCAGGTTAAATGTACTTTGCCGATCTCCACAAATTTCTTGGTGAGCTCTTGCTTCTGCAAAGCCAGGAAAGATTCCTCAGGACGCATTAGCATTAAACGCACCTCCGGATACTGTGAGCGCTTGAAGAAGTAAAGATCCCGTATGTACCAGTTTGGATTTAGGATTTTGCCTGACATGAAAAACGATTACTTAATATATGATCTATGTTAAGGATCTTGGTTACTTACTGCTCTTGTAGTCCACTAAGCAATAGTGACTAGTATTTTTCTCATCTATAGGATAGTAATCCAAAGCCTCCTTCAAAAGCTGACAGAAAAGCGTATCCTCTTGAACGGGAAACTGGGAGGGTATATTATAGTCATCGTCGGCGGGTCCGTGGACAACAATCTTTTTAGCTGCTGGCACATTGGCGGTGAGGAGAATGGAAGCATCACACTGCTCTTTGCGCAGAATCTGCTTCAGATCCTTGAACATAATTCCATGCACCGAGTGCACCACCATCCAAAGGACCGACAAGGCTGAGCCAACAAGCTAAAGGAAGGACGTCAAGGATTAAACACCCATTTAGGGTAACAGAAAGGATACCCACCTCCTGTTTCAGCTCATTGGAGGATCGCACGTAGAACATAATGTATCCTATAATTGAGTTATATAAGGCAAAGGCCGCCTGTTGGGGCAGACGGGGCACAAATCGAATCAAATGTCGCAGCAGCTTGAACATCTGGTCCTGGCGGTCGCGGGTCAGCCGCTCAAATACATAGCGAAGAAAGAGGGCCGACTCCTCCACAAGGCACACCCAGATCACCTGGTAGGCAATCTCGTAGACAGCATTGCCATCCGACCCGATGGCAGCATCATCCAGACAGCCGACAATCTGCATCACGGACGAGCAGAGGACGGAGGGGAAGAGCGAGTGGGCGTGATGCAGGTGCGAGGACATGCGTGTGCCGTCGAGGTCCTCCTCGATCTCGTGATCCTCCAGCTTCTCCATGCCAGGCTCGTGTGAAGCCTGTTGACTGATCGGAATCATGGTGATGAGGAAGCTGTGCCTCTCCGCCCGCTGCTTGTCCCGCTGCTGACGAAGGGCGTTCCTAATGGCCTCCGTCTGCTGCATCTTCCGGCTCTTAGTGGCGGTGACTAGGGATCGCTGCAAGTGTGGGAAAATATTTAATGGATTTTTATGAAAAATCACCTCCCGACCAGTACATAACCCAGTGTTTCGGCAGCCTTCTCACTCACATGTCTGTCTTGGTTTAAAGTAACATCCATGTCCTTTGTTTGCTGTACGGGCATCCAAGGTGGATCTACCACAGGCAGACTTTCAATGCCAATCTTTGGGGACGGCAGTGTGAATTCAATGCCACCTGGTGGCACCTTGAAAGTTACGTCGTGGGCATTCTCCTCCATTCGCGGCCAGACATGGAAGCGGCACTTCCACAGCACAAGGTAGCGCTGAATAGCTCCAATCCTTATGTCCGGATCCTTGTGCTTCAGAGCTCTCTGCATGATGTCGAAGGCAAAGTTCTGCGCCTTCACCGAGCCCATAAGAAATACAGCGGCACTGGAGGTGGCTGTGTCATGGTTCGTCTCCAGCAGGAGTTCCCAGGCGGCAGGCATTGCCTCGATTACCATTTCCTCAGTGAGCACGACAGCGCCCTTTAGCAAGGTGGCCAGTGGAAAGTGAAAGAGATTCCTAATATGAATCCTGATGAACTTAAGGATAGGAGGTTCTTCCTGCAACTTTTTCTCTTTCTCCTGGCGGAAGGCCTTGGCCAACTTTTCGGCCATTTCCAGATCCGGATCATCACTTATGCTGAGGATATGAAATTAGAAACTGAGGGTATTTGAATAGACCAAATAAATTCTACTTACCGATCCTTGCGACATAAACTGTCCTTACGTTTGGACGGAGAGGTCTGGGTGGAGCTTTGCTCGGATACCTTTCGAGTGGAGCGGGATCGAGAAGTGTGTGGCTTACTAGAGCTAATGACTGTTGGTTCCACGGTTGGATGATCTGAATCAAAGGAGAAACCGAATTCCTCACCATAAATCTGTATATTAAAGGAATAATTTTAAAAACTATGTTAACATTATGACCTTTTATGTCACCTTTCTAGTAGCCTTCACCAGACGAGTGCAGGATCTCATGTGGCGTTTATAGCAGAACGGATGACAATATCCTTTATGGGTGCAGTAGTAGTTGTAACTGGACATCAAATCTATAACCGCCTTCAGCCAGGGCATATTCTTGGCCGTGTCATCGTTTTCATTGGAGTCTGTGGGTGACTCTGGCTGCTGGTCGTCGCTGAGTATTCCAGGAGACTCTTCCCCGCCACTAATCATGCCCTGCTCTGAGGTGTCACTCCGATCGGAAAGGGAGGAGACCTTGCGACGCGATTGGATATTGACTAAAATATGAACCATAATATTATAAATATATTCCCTTAGTCATTTTGGTTAACTTACAGTCCGTTTCAATATCCTTGCTATCTTTGGTATTACGGCGCAGCTTAAGAGAGCGTCTTTTAAAGGACCCTCCTGTTGTGGTGGCAGTGCCACGCCTCAAAAGGAAAGGACGCACTGCGGAAGCAGTAGGACGCCGAGCTGAGGATAAGAGAAAAAAAAGTAATGATTGTTTCCCAAAAATGTTACCTAATGTGGATACCTTCTTCTTCCTTAGTTAGTGTGGTATTACTACTGTTCTCCGATTCGTTGTCTGGTTCATGAAGTACAAAGGATATTTTACGCTCCGACTGCCCGGCGCCATCGTTTCCTGCAGCTATGGACTGGAGGCTCTGGGCCGAAGTCTGGGAGTGACCCATGGAACTAAGGGCCATGGACCAGCGGCGATTGGCCTCGCGATAGACCTTCTCCCAAGGAGCCGGCTTGTCGCGATGAATCAGCTTGGATGTTTTGGGCAGCATCAGATAGGTGTCCCTCAAGAAGGCCGTAATCTCAAAAAGCAGTACACAAGCGATGAGTTTCAGGGAATGTGGACAGTCGTTGCCATGTGGATTCACCGAAGCCTCGTCCAGGAAGTCCTCTTCCTCGTCCTGCTGCAGTAGCTCACGCTGCTTTTCCGGATCCGTGAGACTGGCATTGACCGCCTCGTACTGCAGTCGCTCAGTGAACAGAATCTCCTCGAGACGAGCTCCTATCATTTCCGCCCACTGGTGGAACATCTTGCCGGCGGCCCTCTGCAGGATGTGAGTACGTCTGGCACTTGACTGGCTCACCTGTTGCTTCATCTGGCTGATATTGATGTTAGCTCCAGATGCCCGGTAGCTGCCTACGTTCTGTTTCATCCAGGCAGGCCATTGACCTTTATTGCAAAGATGGACAAAGTGGGCGCACTCCAAGAGGAAAGTGGCACGTGCCACAAGGGGGGCTTGGGGCTGTTGGGAAAGGGATAGGGATAAAATATTTAATCATTAGACAGTTTTTTTATAGGAGTATTGCCACAAAATATTTCAGTAATCTACTTAAATGCGAATAATAACGAAGTTTCATACAAATATGCGAATTTTTAGGGACTTGATAAGGAAGTAGTATTGTTTATTTTCAAATATTTCAATTAATATTGCAAAGATTTTTAGCCAACAGTTGTTAAAAATGAAGTGCATGTTTCAATTTTTTATAGGCGGTATTTGCCATGCAAGGGAGGACTAAAGAAATCGTAAATAAAATAAGCATTTAAAATACAGGTTTTAGAATTTGTTTAAATTAGTTTGAAACCATCGCCGTTAAAAAATTCTTTTTTTTATGATATAATTTAAATCTTTACCGTTATATAACTTATTGAAAAACTTGACTTTTCGAAGAAGATTACAATAATTATCGTTGTTATGAAAACAAAGAAAACAACTTATCCAAAAGAAAGCAACTTTATTATACTGACCAGATCCAGGACTGCTGCCACCAACTGGGAGTCGGGAAAGGAGCCAGGAGCACAGGTCTCCAGCAGAAAGGATAGCCGCAACATGCCCACGCGCACTGGATCGGTGGGGACGAGCTTGCGCTCCTTGAGGATGACTACCTCCGACTCCCGGGGACCATCGCACATGTCCGAGGAGCTGCGTCGGCTGAAGTCCGCCGTCTCTTCGATGCCGCCCACCTTCTTCTTGCCCTTCACAATGCCACCGAAACGGTTCAGCCGCCGCTCGACGCGTCGCTTGGCGCGCTGAATGGACCGCCCAATGCCGTCACTCGACCGACCCCGCTGGATCTTCAGCGAGGCGTGCCGCATAAACGTGGAGGATATCTCTGGGTTGAGGGACCCGATCTCCAGGTCGATGGACGAGGCCTCCTTGGGCGTGCCCCGGAACCAGCGCACCAAGCCGCTGAGCCGTCCCAGCGAATTGCGCTCCGAGCTCGACGTCGAGTCGGAAAGCAGGGCCCGTTCGCTGTGTCGGGGGGTCAACGTAGGGCGGACTCCGGTGGTTCGTCTACGGAAGTTGCTCAAAGGCGACTGGCTGGTCTTGTAGTGCTCCTCACACGTCTCCGTTTCGAGGAGGCTCTGCAGGAGAATAGAAGACTGGTTATTGGTCAGTGGTTACTCGGGGTCAAGACTCACTACGGCGCAGGCGGAGGAAGTACTTCGCTTCTTCAATAGAAGGCGGCGCTGAGAGCGGTTGTCATCGTTCTGCATACTCTGGCCCACATTGGCTTGGGGAATGTGTCTGTAAAAAAACGTTTTAAGTATTTAATGCTTTCTTAATTTTTCTTAATAAAGAAAAATATCAATCTCACCTTATAACTCTTGTGGTTTGCGCTGAAGGACCTTTTTTGTGTGGCCTGGGAGTGACGGCCAAAATACCACTGAGCGCCACCAGACGGAAGGGTCCACCATGGGCTCCTTTCACATAGGTGACCAACTGACGGATGTCCCCGTAGAGGGCAATGTTCTCCGGACTCTTTAAATCCTTGCTGGCCTCGACGAACCGGCTGACCAGCGGCTTGAAGACTGCCCCAACAACCTGGGACTCCGCACCGCCGCTCATCCCGCCGCTAAAGTTTGTCGTATAGCCGCCCTGACCTGGTACGCCGCCAAGATCGGTGTTAGCATTTTTATATCCACTCTGACGTTTATGAGCTATTTGCATCATTTTATACATACATACATATATATACAACGTATTGGTGGTGACAGTAAGGAGGATAGTAGGAGGACAACTCAAAAGCATTAGCAAAAGTCTCGGCATGCATAGAAGGGGGAAACCACAAACAGCATGGATGCATGGTAGAATGGTGGCATGGTTGCAAGGTTGCATGGATGCATGTCGGCAATGAGCCGGATGAGCAAATCAAAAGACGAAATGGAAGCCCAACTCAAAAGCGGCCAATGAAACTCAAGCTTGACTGGTTGGATCGAACTTTAAATGGGGGTTTTCAGTGCTCCTAATTTTAGGTTAGCATCCAAGCCCTGCATTTGCGGTTTGGCAGTGGATTGAAGTCAAAAACTAAGTCTATTTTGCAAAACTTACTCATAGGCGAAAGCAGAGAGCTCGGATCCACACAGAAGGCCAAGAACGCGTGGAAGTAGTCGATCAGCTCCGGCAAGGGCGAGGTCCTTACCATCTCCTGCATATAGCGTTTGGTTCGGGGACCAGCCTGTCGCAGCATCCTTGATAGAATCTTTTGGCATTGATTGCGCAGAAAGTCCGCAGGAGGACCACGAACACCTAGAAATGTGTAAGTTATACGTAAAAGTTTTTTTCTTTTTTTTTAATTTCTAAACTCACCATCGTTGCATCCATGGGGGCACCCAAGAACCTGCAGAGCTCGCCGCGTAATGCTCATGGATATTTCGTGGGCATGCTCACCCAACTTCAGGACCCCCATCTCAATCAATAATTCACAAATGTTTAGACCCGCCTCCAGGACACGGAGGGAGCACACTTGTGAAGGATCTCGCTTGAAAACATTGCTGATGGCCAGTAGGATAATCTCGTAATCGATGCCACCATCACGTGTTATATAAAACGACGATCCAGGTGCCTCGGACTCATCCACGCCAGTGTAATCAATATGGGAGTCGGTATGTGAGCGTAGCATTTGGCCACGATACCTAGTGGTAGTGCTGCCCATGCCGGTGCTTCCGTTTCCGCCTCCATTTTCCCCCATGCCAGCAATGCTGCCACCATTACTTAAGGCGTCCAGCTGGGAGTCAATGGAACCCTAGGGATAAAGAAATGTCAATAGAGTATTACTCATACGCCAGGTTGTCCTGCATTCCCATACCCTCAAAACAATCATACCAATACTTTAACGAATACCACAAATATTTACCTGTCGCTTCATATAATCCGGAGAGGGTGTCGGTGTATGCTCCGTAACCGTAATAATGGGATTCCGAGGATAGAATACTGTGGCACGAGGACAACTTGTCTGCGATGGTCTTGGCGCCTTCGGTGGCTCAACGTATCTGTAAAATCTATTTTTTTGTAGGAGACGTGCGAGAAATCGTGTGCGTGGCATTAGTCAAAACGGAGTGCTGCAAGCTTGAGGATTAACTTGGGTTGGGTTGGTATACAGTAGGGATAAGCCGGGAGTAGTGAGAGAGAAACAGCCATGGAAAGGTGGCCAAAAAAGGTGGAGCATACAGGGTAAAAAGGGGAAAAAGTGATTGAATATAGACAGGCAGAATTTTTATAGACAGGCATTGAACATAGAGCATAGAGTGTCCTTAGAGATCGAAGATAAATAGTATTTAGCTACTTGTAACGACCAAAACTCACCCGCTATCGAGCAGACAGCTGGTTGATCATGGAAGAAATATTTTCAAGTCAAAAGTAATAGAATACACAAAGTATTAGCTTGGTAGCAAAGATTGAGACTCTAAAGAGTATGAAATATTTGAGAATAGACTGGAAGTGTAAGTGTCTTTTTGTTCTGGTGTCAGAGGCCTGATAAAGATTTGGTCATAGTTTGTTTTTATGGGTTGAATTGAGAGTTTGTAACTTACCTAAGACTGGGCATAGATTTCCCCTTAATGAGGTTACTGGCCGGCTCGCGACTAATCATCGAAGCAGAACGCGACAGCTTTTTCTCGCCCGTATCCAAGCTGCGATGATACTCCTAGGGTAAGTAATATTAAGATTATTTTAGTACATATAGTGTATAGTGCTTAGTTATAGCTTTAAGAACAAGTGTTAACATTCAACTCTCAAGCCAAACAAACACCATTTATGAGGAAGTATATATATGGGGAACAATAAGCGGGATGCCAGGCAGAAACACTTAAAAACAGTCAACATCAGTTTTCACATGGCTTACTGCATGTTGCAGTGGTGTCTTGCCATTGGCAGAGTGAGTATCGAGCCCTACTTTTTCCAGATTCTTCTCCGACTTAGAGAACATCTTTGTCTCCACGAAAGCCCTCAAATCGGCCATCTTGACGCGTTTTTTCTTCTCGCTGCCCCGTCGCTCGGAGGTACTTGGAGCACTTTGAGGTTCTTCTGTGAGAGATACAACATTTTTTTCAGAACTCCTTTTAATATTAAATTTTATTTCGAACTAACCCACAACACAGGCTGTCACAGTGGGTGATGGATCGGGTATTTCTATATAGTCCTTGACCACAGAGCTTCCAGGACTGTCTCGGCTGTTGCTACCGGGTCCCTGGTACAGGGATATCTCGATTTGTGGAATAGGCAATGAATTGGAACGCTTCCGTGGCTGATTCAAAGTAATAGCCGCATCTTCACCAATGTCACTAAGACTAAATTAGCAGAATGTATGTATATTAAATTTACAGAGGAGCTTGTAGAGTTATTTATCACTACTCACCGATTATACAAGTACTGTAAGCTCCAAAAGATTCCTTCCTCCTGCCAATGGGATATGAACAGGCAACGTAGCACAGATACATCCAAGAAAGTGGCAGCCGACACATCCGCCTTTATACTGTCCGATTTGTCAGAGTCCGTCTCCTTGTCAATGGAGGCACTGCGTTTCTCCTTCATCGAAGCACCCCGCATCAGTTCCTGCTGGTCAAACTCGAACTTGGTAGATGGAATCTTTTCCTTGTCGCGGGAGTTCATTGATTGGCGACTCCCGCGGCGGCTCTGGGATTGTTGGAGCAGACTGGCATCAGCCTATTAGAAAAAAAAGTTAAATAAATTAAAGATAAATAAGTAGATAAAAGATCTAATTTGTAAGAATAATGAAGATAAAGATATTATGGCTTTCGTTGGGAGCCATATTGACCTCTCAAGCATTTCCCCATTTTTTGAAGGGGTCTACAAAAACAATTTGAGACTGAAGCAGGTGGATGAATGGCAAGAAGTTCATGGTCAGCGAGACGGGTTTTTTGGATAAGCTGGAGAACAAGATTTGCAACACGCCGGAGAATGCGGCCGACGCCGATGAGATCATGGAGAAACTTGATGTGAGCGGGGAGAAAAATTTTCTAAATTAAAAAAAAAAAGCAATGAAGGAGTCGGCCCCAACCATTTAAAGTATACATACATACATTCTTGATAGGGATCAACTCCTGAGTCGATATAATCGTGCCCGTCCTGTATACCTGTTTCTACCTAAACTACTCTTCCAGCTTTAAAAGTATAGAGGGTACAACTTTGAACACATCTTTCTGTCTTTTGGGCTCAGTGTATAAGTCGGATCGACCGGGATCGGTCGACTATATCCTATAGCTGTCATATAACTGATTGATCGGATATACGATAACTTTCTTTAACTATGTTTATAAATTATAAATGTTAAAATGTAAACACACATATTTCCATTGCCTATTTATTTGGGCACTTAGAAGGCAAGCAGTAATGAAGGATAAAAATTTATCCTTTTTTCGAGTATGATATCATTCCAGAAGATGCTTTAATTTGGAAACTATTCAATAAAGTTTTTAAAATTAATTAATTTAAAAAAAGTGCCCTCCTCCTCGATTCTCATAGGATGCACTTAAGCATGCCCGAAAAATCGGAAAAAGTTTTTAATTTATTTTTTTAATTTATTTTTTTCTTTTTTAAAAATAATTGAATAAAATATAGTGCCCTCCTCCTCGATTCTTATACGCTGAACTTAAGCTGGCTCAAAAAATCGTGAAAATAAAAATAATAATAATTATTATAAAAAATTTTTTTTTATTATTATTATTTTTTTTTTTAATAAGTGTTTATGATTTAAGTTGTAGTTGTTGTAGTAGTTGTAAGTCAAAAGTAAGCTTTCCTTTCTTGTTTTTTTTAACCATTTCTATGGTTATTCATTTAAGAATCGCTTAAGAATCAAATGACTATTGGCAAAGATATGGATTTCGGTGTGGCCCATATTGACCTCTCAAGCATATCCCCCATTTTTGAAGGGGTCTACCCAGAAAATTTGACGAAAAATATAAAAAATATTTTGTTCCTGGATTTTGATGCGAATTAATGGAGAATCGATTCACAAATCGTTAAAGGTATTCCGCTTAAGAATCAGATGACTATTGGCAAAGATATAGCTTTCGGTGTGGCCCATATTGACCTCTCAAGCATTTCCCCCATTTTTGAAGGAAAATTTGACAAAAAATCTTAAAAATATTTTGTTCCTGGATTTTGATGCAGATTCATAGAGAATCGATTCACAAATCGTTTAAGGTATTCCGCTTAAGAATCAGATGACTATTGGCAAAGATATGGCTTTCGGTGTGGCCCATATTGACCTCTCAAGCATTTCCCCCATTTTTGAAGGGGTCTACCCAGAAAATTTGACGAAAAATCTAAAAAATATTTTGTTCCTGGATTTTGATGCGAATTAATGGAGAATCGATTCACAAATCGTTAAAGGTATTCCGCTTAAGAATCAGATGACTATTGGCAAAGATATAGCTTTCGGTGTGGCCCATATTGACCTCTCAAGCATTTCCCCTATTTTTGAAGGAGGAAATTTAGACAAAATATTTTTGTCTACCCAGAAAATTTGACAAAAAATCTTAAAAATATTTTGTTCCTGGATTTTGATGCGGATAAATGGAGAATCGATTCACAAATCGTTTAAGGTATTCCGCTTAAGAATCAGATGACTATTGGCAAAGATATGGCTTTCGGTGTGGCCCATATTGACCTCTCAAGCATTTCCCCCATTTTTGAAGGGGTCTACCCAGAAAATTTGACAAAAAATCTTTAAAATATTTTGTTCCTGGATTTTGATGCGGATAAATGGAGAATCGATTCACAAATCGTTTAAGGTATTCCGCTTAAGAATCAGATGACTATTGGCTTTCGGGGTGGTCCATATTGACCTCTCAAGCATTTCCTCTCAAGCATTTGAAGGGGTCTACCCAGAAAATTTGACAAAAAATCTTAAAAATATTTTGTTCCTGGATTTTGATGCAGATTCATAGAGAATCGATTCACAAATCGTTTAAGGTATTCCGCTTAAGAATCAGATGACTATTGGCAAAGATATGGCTTTCGGTGTGGCCCATATTGACCTCTCAAGCATTTCCCCCATTTTTGAAGGGGTCTACCCAGAAAATTTGACGAAAAATCTAAAAAATATTTTGTTCCTGGATTTTGATGCGAATTAATGGAGAATCGATTCACAAATCGTTAAAGGTATTCCGCTTAAGAATCAGATGACTATTGGCAAAGATATAGCTTTCGGTGTGGCCCATATTGACCTCTCAAGCATTTCCCCTATTTTTGAAGGAGGAAATTTAGACAAAATATTTTTGTCTACCCAGAAAATTTGACAAAAAATCTTAAAAATATTTTGTTCCTGGATTTTGATGCGGATAAATGGAGAATCGATTCACAAATCGTTTAAGGTATTCCGCTTAAGAATCAGATGACTATTGGCAAAGATATGGCTTTCGGTGTGGCCCATATTGACCTCTCAAGCATTTCCCCCATTTTTGAAGGGGTCTACCCAGAAAATTTGACAAAAAATCTTTAAAATATTTTGTTCCTGGATTTTGATGCGGATAAATGGAGAATCGATTCACAAATCGTTTAAGGTATTCCGCTTAAGAATCAGATGACTATTGGCTTTCGGGGTGGTCCATATTGACCTCTCAAGCATTTCCTCTCAAGCATTTGAAGGGGTCTACCCAGAAAATTTGACAAAAAATCAAAAAAATATTTTGTTCCTGGATTTTGATGCGAATTAATGGAGAATCGATTCACAAATCGTTTAAGGTATTCCGCTTAAGAATCAGATGACTATTGGCAAAGATATAGCTTTCGGTGTGGCCCATATTGACCTCTCAAGCATTTCCCCCATTTTTGAAGGGGTCTACCCAGAAAATTTGACAAAAAATCTTAAAAATATTTTGTTCCTGGATTTTGATGCGGATAAATGGAGAATCGATTCACAAATCGTTTAAGGTATTCCGCTTAAGAATCAGATGACTATTGGCAAAGATATAGCTTTCGGTGTGGCCCATATTGGCCTCTCAAGCATTTCCCCGATTTTTGAAGAGGTCTACCCAGAAAATTTGACAAAAAATCTAAAAAATATTTTGTTCCTGGATTTTGATGCGGATTAATGGAGAATCGATTCACAAATCGTTTAAGGTATTCCGCTTAAGAATCAGATGACTATTGGCAAAGATATAGCTTTCGGTGTGGCCCATATTGACCTCTCAAGCATTTCCCCCATTTTTGAAGGGGTCTACCCAGAAAATTTGACAAAAAATCTTAAAAATATTTTGTTCCTGGATTTTGATGCGGATAAATTGAGAATCGATTCACAAATCGTTTAAGGTATTCCGCTTAAGAATCAGAAGACTATTGGCAAAGATATAGCTTTCGGTGTGGCCCATATTGACCTCTCAAGCATTTCCCCTATTTTTGAAGGGGTCTACCCAGAAAATTTGACAAAAAATCTTAAAAATATTTTGTTCCTGGATTTTGATGCGGATAAATGGAGAATCGATTCACAAATCGTTTAAGGTATTCCGCTTAAGAATCAGATGACTATTGGCTTTCGGTGTGGGCCATATTGACCTCTCAAGCATTTCCCTCATTTTGAAAGATATGTCTATCGGTGTGGGCCACATTGGCAATGCGTGAAACCGTGCATTTTGTGAAATATACACTCACAGTAAAGAATGAATTATCCATTAGTTGTGGCGCTGAGGGTAATCGAAATATTACCACACGCTCGTCTTCTACGCTTGAGGCTTCTTCAGGTATGGTTTCCGGAAAGGCAAACTCTTTGGGGGAAGAAACCCAGGAGCCCTGCACATAAAACAATATTACTTTTAAGGGTTTTGGTGTTGCATTGTAAAATTACAAACCTCTTCATCTTGCCTGCCGAAGTCTGAAATGCCACTCTGGGGTGAATCAGCTTTAGGTGACATAGCATCGGCACTGAGGGAATGTTTACGAGCAGGAAATACATCAGTGGATCCTTTTGGAGTCGGAGCACACAGCAAGTTACGGGCTTTTGGCTTTACAGGAGCTGTAAAGCAAGGAGCTCCCGGTGCCCGATTATCCCACATGCCCTGCCATAGCTTAATGCCATTCTCCAGGCGGAAGTTCTGAAAGTCTGACTCCTTTAGGTGATGTATAATTGGTGCAAATAGATAAACAAAGAGCTAGAAAAGAAAGATCTTTGTTAAGATTGAATCCAAACAAGTAGAAATGTTAAACTCACAGTAATCGTTGGCACCGAGAACAAATATTGATCGATGGACTTGGGTCGAGGCTCCCCAGTCGAATCGCCCAAACCCATATCCTCTCCGCCCTCGTCGTCGGCACATTCCTCGGCGGCGTAAAGGAGTATCCATTGCATGGTGTACAGTAGCTTGGTTTCCACAGGGCCAATAGCCTGCATGTCCTTGACTCGGTTGTGCAACAAGGCGGCACACGCATGCATCACATGTGGCAAGGCACCCTGCAGAAGTCGCCATCGTGGAATGGCTCCCAGAGCCTTTGTCAAAGGGGGCGATAGTCCAAACTGTATGTTTTGCACTAACACTTTTTCAAAAGACTAAAAAATAGAAAGCCATTAGTCTATTATGATTATTAAGGATTAAATTTATTGCTCGTACCTTGCAGGCTTCTTTCGACTCCTAAATACCATAAAATGGGTATAAAAATGAGAATTCTTGATTAATTATGACTTTAGTTTAATTTTTATAAAAATTTGGAAACTCACAACAAACATAAAGACTTAAAGACAAACTTAAATATTGACACAGAACAGTCACTAAAATTATGTACAATAGAAAAAATAAAAGTAACGACTATTTTATAAAGAAATAGTTAAATGTTAATAAAACTACCACAATACATTAATAACTTACATGGTGTCCCGGTGCGTGTTGACAAAACTACATTCAGATTCAGACAAATTGCGAAAGATTTTACAATGTTAATTTGTACAGTTTTGTTATTGAAAAAGTGTGTGTTTTTTTTTGTTTCTCGTTGGTTTGTGTAAAAAGCATAGCAGATTATTAATATGTACAGGTCGGGGAAGGTCTTCCGAAGGCGTCTTCCCCGACCTCATTAAGAAAAGTTAGGTCTGGTGTTTAGTTTGTGAAAGGTGGCCGTGTTAGTAGTTGTTATGTTTAGAAGAAAATCAGATTAAAATGCAGGAAAGTATAAAAACATCAAACATCAAAGTCAAAATGGATTATTGCTTTCCAGTTTCCTTGAATTTCAGCAGAACAAAATTAAAATGAAAAGGACATTGAACATGGTTTGGTTTTCGGGTCGTTTGTGCCAATTCGGATGCCAATGGTTTTTGGTTTCTTGAGTATTTTACACAGTCCATCCTTACAACAAACACACATAGCGAATGTACAGCACAGTATTCATTTAGAAGCGCTCCCCTTTCGACAATTAATTGTTTTTTTTTAGAGGGTGTGCTCACGTCGATCAATCGTGGCCTTGGTAGCATTTATTTTTTCATATCTTGACGATTTGGCAAATGCAATGCGATTGCCCGGGCTTGGCACAACTTACCAGACAGGTGGACTCGTGCAATTTGCCCAGCTTGGGTCGGATGAATGGGGCTATTTGGCGCCACAGGAACGTTTGCACGGACACCGGCAAGCCGAGGTCCTGCAATCCGCTATCCTGGTCAAAGTCAAAGTCATCGTTGTTGTTGTTCGCGCCGTGACTGTTGTTGTTTGTCTGCAGGTTGTTGTTATTGGTGCTGGTATTCGTGGCAGCCGCTGTTGCCGCGGCATTGGTCACCATGGTGGCCAGCTGTAATGGACACAAGGGCAGGGACACACATCAGTTGGAGCATGCAACAGTTGCTTGGCTCATTCATAAAAAAAAATGCTATAGGAGGGAGTGAGTGTGTCAGGTGAGACATTAGCATGCCGCAGCAACAAGTGTTTGCGTGCGCAGGCCCATCAAATGGCAGGCTCGGCCTCCTCCTGTTGCTCCTGTTCGTCTAGTTTCCGACTAGGTCAGTGCCAGTGACAGTGACTCCCCCGAACTCCCCCGCCCCAGAGGCGGCTGAGATTTCGGCTGGACCAGCTGGTCCTGGGACGCTGCGCAGGACGCAGACTCCGCAGCCAGCAAGACTGGGTTATAGATACAAAACTGGGTTTCTGGTATACATGCTAATTTGGGGCAAAAATTTTCACAGACTTATATAACCCCGTCCAGAGATTGTGGAAAAGTTTTGGCTTTCTTTTCAATTAATTACTGTTTTCGTGGCAATTATTCGATACTTGGCACTCACTCAAATCAAACGTTTCCATTTGTGCCAACATTTCACTTGATTGGGGGCCGCACCCAGCTAAACAAAGAACGGTAGCCATTCTGGGCTGGGCTTTAAGTATCCACTAATTGCAAGTGTTTTCTTTCTTTTTTCTGCCATGTTTGCAAAGCACTTTATCTTTGATAGTTTATTGTGTGTTTTTCCCCTTTTTCTAGCCTTTTGCACAACATTTTCCAAAGCTATCCCTTTTACTTACCTTGATTTGCGCGTTGCCAGTTTCGATAAAGTTCACGGTTGGAGCGTTCGGATGCAACTGAAGACCAGCGTCGTTAACTGACGAGCTCTGGGCTCCCTGTCGTTATTATCCTCGGCACCGCCATCGTCCTTTCGGGCCATCAGTGCGTATACCAGATATACACACCCGCACTCTGTGTTAAGTATACGCACTGGTGGCCAAAAGGGCTGCTTGGGATTTAGAGGGTGTTCTGGCATTTATTGCGGCATTGAGTTTGTTGCTCTCCCAGTGGATCACCCTGTTTGTTTGGAGCACACTTATCAATGATAATAAATGCCTGCTGGGGGTAGATATTGCGTATACGCCGTCTGGTCGACACAGTATAGTTGACTCGACAATAAATTCCTTTATCTGCGAGTGTCTCGGGTGCGCCATTTAATATATGATATTGTTTAAAGGAGAAATTAAAGCCATCCTTAGTAGTATCCAAATATCCAAATACCATCCAAATAGTATTAAATTGTATAAAAATGTTTTTATTTTGAATATCCAAATGATTGAATCATTTTATTTACTTTATATAATACAGGTTTAAGAAACAGGGTGTTTATACATCAATGAAAAACATTTTTGTAATTCTTAAGTATTATTATGCAGATTTTATCTAAAAGAAGATTTTATGAATATTAACGCGCATTAACTTTTACAACCTTCTAAGTTGCCCTGTAAGTCATTGAAAATTATTACAACATATACAGTTAAAAGTTTTAGGTTAATATTTTCCTAAAATAAATCAATGATTTATCCTATTGACTTAGATATTTATGATTTTCACCGGGCGGCTTATCAATGACTTGCGCACTTTGAACTGCGCAGCTAAATGCTAAGCATCGGCTCCTGATAACAGCTGTGAACTGAAGGACTTTGTCGGCCTACTTTTTTGTTCATCTAGCAGCTGGATCTCAGCAATGGCAACAGGTATCTCCGGCAAGGAGTAAACAATAACAATGGCAGGGAGGCTGCGCGGTTATGGCCGATCCGAAGTGTCCTTAAAAAGAGACAGAAAGTCGAACAAACTGAGAGTGGGGCACAGGAAATTGGCAGCACAGCTGGGTTCAAAACTGGGTCAAAGAAGGGCCTGTCTCGTAGGCACGTACATATTTGCGACATGGAATGTCAAGGCCAAGGACTGCGGCATCGATTCGAAGCCGAGACTCGCCGGAGGTGTCAATGTCCTGACGGTATCCTCGAAAGTAATTGCCTTACGATGAGGTGCTACCTTTTAAGTACTTTTTTTTACCCTTCAGTTTTGATCGGGCATTACGTGCCCGATTTTATGTACCTACGCAAACAAAGCTCTTCGAATTTGTTGCTGTACATTTTTGCTCTGAATAAGCTGTGTGTATCTGTGTCATAGTTTTTATAAATAGCACGCATTAAAAATGTTGTAGAAATACACACAATAAGGCGGCGGAGGGGCCAGTAATAATGCGCCTTCTATGTAGATCTCGTCTGGCAGGAAAGAGCGGGAAAGCCGCGTGGGGGGAATATAACTTTTGGAAAATGTATAAATATTGAAAAGGCTTTCAGGTGTTTCGGGCGGCCATCGACAAACAAGAAATCGGGCATTTAACACCCCCGACCGGCTGACAAAACATTTCGAACGATAACATACGAAAAGACCTGAGAAATACGTTGAAAAATACCCGTACACCGCGGGGCTTGCCAAAAAGACGATCAGGGTCGATGAGTGTATAAATATATACGTATATATGCCAAATACATAGTACTGCCGCCTATACTACATAGCCTCCCATGTGTGGGAGGTTCTGCGGGTCTATGGAGTGGGAGGTACGCCGGGGCAGGAGAAGGCTCTTCCACTAATCTATTGCGCAGCACCGAACAATAAAGTTCCGATCTCCTCGCACATATGTTACCTAAAATATTATCTGCAAAATCATCTGTAACGTCGAATGATATTCAACACTATCCGGCTGGGGCTGGGAATGCCACAAGCGATTATTATTTTGCCTTCGCGAAGCAAACACGAAATTTAACTAAAATAAAGCAAAAAAAAAACATTCAAATCCGTAACAAAAACAAAAAACAAAATTTTAAAAATAGCGCATTTAGAGAGCACAACAAACGGCTCCATAGGAGAGCCCAAATATCCGAGAGTTGTATTCGAAAATTTCCCAAGATGAAAGTAAATTCTTGGCATCGCACACACACACTGGCGGGTGTGGCTGTGTGTGCGGGCAGCCTTGCACAGCGAGAAAAGAGCGAGAATTTCGTCATTTGGATCCGTGCCTGCGTAAGTGTATCTGTATCCGTGCAGCCGTGTATCTGTGTCGGTGCTTTCGGACGATCTGCTGCTGGTCGGCTATCACCTCAGAATTACCTTGCCGTACTGCCGCTGACGAATAACGTTCAGTCGAGACCGAGCTCATCCGCGATACAGTTGATTTTCGCATCCAACAGACAAAATGGTGAGTGCCTCCATCGGCCAAGGAATCAGCTTCACATAGATCTTCCTCCGAGCATCCAGTGATATATGTGCACCTTCTAAATTTATACCAGAATTCTGAAACTCAAATTAATGAAAAACTCCTCAATATTTTCCGTTTCCGTTGACAGGCTGATGTACCAAAGCGTGAAGTTGAAAGTAAGTTGAACGCACTGAAAAAGGATTATCTTTAACCTCAATCGAAAACGATCAAATCTTAATTTCAAATAATACAAACAAACTATAAAAAAGGGGATACGAAGGACTTAATAGAAACCCGAAAATGAATTTTCCTTGGAATACGCCTAAAAAAAATGATTACATAATGTGCGCGTGTGAGATACACATAATATAGATGAACAAAAAGTACACAAAAAGTCGGTGAACATATTTCGTAATCGCTTGGAATATATCTCATACCCAATCCTACATATACACAAATCTATATGCGTGTCTATATATAACATATTGCGGAAATTTTTCTCATTAAGGAAAGTCTATATGCGTCGCTAAAAATACATTCATATCGTCCGGGAAAATAATGCAAACGAAGAGTCTGACATAATTCCAGTCGGTGCAAAGTTATGTTCTATTTCGTTAAAATATCGTTGAGAAAAAAAATCAATGAAAATCTTGTGTATATATGACAGGCTGATCGGCAGCCCGAACTATCGCGATCGTGTCCGAAGCTTCTCGTTTAGAGATCTAATTTTGGCCAAGTTATTTCTTGGGGATTTATTTTCGTTCCAACGCACAGGAAAGAAAAGAGAAAATTCAAAGGCCGTGTGTGTGAGCCTTAAGTACATATATACATATATGTATATTGTGCCTATATAGCATATAAACGATGGCAAAGGCGAAGACGTTCGGTTCGGGTGTCGGATTACGTATACGTAGTGTGTTCCTCGGGTTGGCGATGCTCCCAGATCGACAGGCACGCACCTATACAGACTCACAGTAACTAATGCTCTCCGTCGTGTCAAGATTTTCATGATGACCAAAAATGTGCGTACCAAAAATTTCAGGGTTACCACATCGACCCCATTTTCTAAGGGTGTCCCCATAACCGAGTATTTATAACAAAAGCAATTAATATGAAAACAAATGTAAATAAAAAACAATAGTTTGATGGTTTTTGATTATAAAAATGATTCAGACACTAAACAATAATATTTTCTGCAGATGTCGAATTCGTTTTCGAAGTCATGGGATCCCCCGGCGAGGGTATCGATGCCGTCGACCTAGGTGATGCCCTCCGCGCTCTGAACTTGAACCCCACCTTGGCGCTGATCGAGAAGATGGGCGGCACCAAGAAGCGCAACGAGAAGAAGATCAAGATGGATGAGTTCCTGCCCATCTACTCACAGGTCAAGAAGGAGAAGGAGCAGGGATGCTACGAGGACTTCATTGAGTGCTTGAAGCTCTACGACAAAGAGGAGAACGGCACCATGATGCTCGCTGAATTGCAACACGCCCTGCTGGCTCTTGGTTAGTATCCAGGAAAAAATGAATACTTCTTATCCCACCCAAACTAAATTTACATCTTTGTATTAATCATCAGGTGAGAACTTGGATGACGAACAGGTCGAGACTCTGTTCGCTGACTGCATGGACCCCGAGGATGATGAAGGATACATCCCCTACTCTCGTAAGTATTCGGATGCTAGTGCCCTGGACCCGAGGGTCAACAATGTCTTTATGTCTTGTGATTCCGAAATGAAAACCATATTTGTCTATTTCACATGTTACTTTATTTGTCTGCGCATCAATTACTTTGTCCCCCGAACCACTCTGCACTGTGCACTTTGTACCTGAACCTGATCACTCCCCATGTCCATATGTTTAAAAACGAAATCCCAACCAACAAAATATCACGTCCCAATGGCCTCTGCACTATGATTGTGAATTGTGTCCCGAATGCCCGTCGTTATGTCGTCACCACCACAGAGTTCATCCAGCGCTTGATGAGCGATCCAGTCGTCTTCGACTAAACAGTAAGTAATCGGATTGAATTTTGGGACGAACACCCTATGACCCGGTGTCTGGATGATGTGTCTTTTAAATGTCCAAGGAAAGATACAAACACCGTACTAATATCATTCTGTTTGTCCTCTATTTCACAGCATTCCTCGCCAGAATGTGTGAAAGACCAGATCAGCTATAAATAGTTAGAAACAACAACAACAAACCAACAACAACAACACCAACAACAAAGAATTTATAGCAACAACCATTCTCCATAGATGTTATATTCATCGCTAACTCTCTCTATCTCTCTCGTATATTATTTTAATTAAATTTTACTTCTGCTACAACAACTGCAAAATTGAACTTCAAGATAATATTATTTTTTAAAAAATAAAAAAAATTTAAATTATAAAATAACGAAAAAAACTGAAAAAAATTTAAAGTTTCTGTGAGCATTATTTTGTTATGAATTTTTGATTTTTCATTCGACATGTTGGTTACACAAGCCATAGATAAATATTATTTTTATGAGACGTAAATAAACCAAATAGCAAATACAATAATGTTTAGGGAAATTCTACACCTGAAACAAGAAAGGCAGCAACAGAACTGATTTTGTTCTTGTCTGAAG